TATATAGTAATGTAAGAAATTTGTATAGCAATTCTATGCGGTCCGAAAGCCTGTTAATGTAGTAATGGAGAAGCATCGTGTGCTGTGTATTAGGATGGTTGAGGTACACAATGGAGAAAATTTGCTTTGATTTTCGGTAGCACATCTTTCCCCGAGAAGCTTTGCGTGCGGCAGCGTCTCTTGGCTTCGCAGCGATTCGAGCGAGGGAAGAATTTGGTGGCTCGGGTTTAGGATGTCTCGAATCGGTCATCATCCTCGAAGCCCTCGCTAGGGGATGTACATCCACAACGGCCTACCTCAGTATTCATAACATGACTACCTGGATGATCGACACATTCGGGAATGAGGAACAGAGGGCTAAATGGTAATTAGCTGCATGATCTACTAACAAATACTCATATTGTCATCAATGCGAGTAGTGAATTATATATCGTATGCTACACTCTTGCATTTTTAGGGTTCCGAAGCTCGCGCGTATGGAGTTCTGTAGTTCCTATTGTTTGACTGAGGCTAGTAGTGGAAGTGATTCAGCAGCACTTGTTACCAAGGCGGTCCGTGACGGCGATTTCTACATTCTAAATGGAAGTAAAGCCTTCATCTCCGGGGCAGGCGAAAGTGATCTATATGTGTGCATGGTCCGTACAGGTGGTCTAGGTCCCAAAGGTTAGTATTTAAACCAGCAGTCCGTAGACTGGTATATTTAAAGAAACGAAATGAATGTGACGGTAAGAAAGACGGTGACTTTTTTGTTCGTACCCACAGTTGAATAATTGTATTGCCTATTCAGTCATAACTAAAAATGATAGCATCTTCGGCCAGTAGCAACGAATAGGTTAAAATGGCCTTAATTCATAAAGCCTCGACAATTTTAAGGTTCTGGAGTGCATGAAAGCGTTTGTGCTCAACTAACGATCATCTATTAAAACGGCAGGCATCAGCTGTTTGGTGATTGAGAAGGATACTGCTGGTATATCGTTTGGTAAAAGTGAAGAAAAACTGGGATGGAATACGCACCCAACGCGAGCTGTGATCTTTGAAGACTGTCGCGTACCAGTAGCCAATTTATTAGGTGAAGAAGGCCAGGGATTCACTTTCGCGATGAAAGGAATAAATAATGGTAGACTGAATATGGCTGCTTGTTCTGTGGGAGCAGCCGCCGCAAGCATCGAGTTCGTCGTAGAGTACATCAAGCAACGCAAACAATTCGGAAAGGCCATTGCTGAATTTCAGGTAAAATAGTAGGAAAAACTTGTGATAACCGTAGTTGATATGTTATATTATTCATGCACACGGTTAAATGTGGCCCTATGTAGATATACAATATATATGAACAAACGGAGCATCGTACATCTAACGGAACCGAAACTCTTCTGTTGATTTCGATACAGTTTAATCAGTTTCGGATAGCAGAGATGGCGACTAAACTGCAAGCGAGTCGCTTAATGGTACACGGAGCCGCGCGGTGTGCGCAGGAAGAGCTGCCCAATGCCACAGCTCAATGTGCTATGGCTAAATATTTTGCCACGGAAACCTGCTTTGAGGTACGATGTCGGCGTTCGTTAAACCTTTGGATATGATTATTCTAATTCGTTGGTGAGCGTCAACTCAGCTACTCTAGCATCAGTGTCTTCGTGGGGTTCTAACGGAAAAATTGAAACTTGAAAAATATTGTTAAAGAAATTGAGGAAAAATGCTGTAACAATAATAACAACAAACCTACCACTATCAAAACATTGTTGTTGCTTACCGTATGGGCTTATCTAATTAATAATATTTGTATTCTTGCAGATTACAAACAACGCAATCCAGTTGATGGGCGGATATGGCTTCATCAAGGATTTTCCAATACAACAGTATTTCCGCGACGGTCGAATATATCCCGTAATTGGAGGAACTAACGAAGTGATGCGCCTCATTATATCAAGAGATATTCTCAAATAGCGCTTACTTATGTTAGCCAGAAAAGAAACTACGTACCACCTATACTTACGTAGCTGATAGTGTCTTTTTTACGATAGAACTGTCATATCGAACACTTCCAACTAGCAGGCTGCGTCCGAAGTTCGCTCGTGACGCCCAAACTGCCAAGCCAACCGTTATAAAATATCTAATATAGCAACAGCCACCCCTATTTGCCATTAACATGGGGATTTTTTCCGTCTAATAATTACTATTTACTATTACTTACTATTTAGCATATGTATTCTTTAAAAAACATAGTAGTAAATACTTGTCAATTTAATCGATACAAGAATTGCACAATAGGAAGAATGTAATTCCTCGAAGAGCACATCCGCACAAACCATTACAGGATTTCAGACACATCTATTTAAATGGATCTGGAAATATGGGATATCGAATCGATAACAGTGCATGTAAATAAACGGTTGTTTTTGAGCACTGTCTAGTGAATACGACTGAATGACCCTACGACGCTCAGTGTGTGAAAGACTGTTTTAGCGATACCTATTGCCCCCTATTCTTCTATCAGGTGGGCCACATAAACGAAATTAAATAGTGTAAAATGTATGTTTTTTTTTTATTTCAGATGGAGCTATCTGGTTATCTATATTAGAAAACACCAATGTTATGACAATTATTTCGAAGGATTTAACTTCCCTCTGTGCTCTACGCTGATCACCGGATGTATTATAGAATTATAACGATGTAATTTTTCAACAATTTCCGAACCCGTCAGCTGGCAGACGAAGACACAACGCATACACGTAGAATAAGCAGGCCTGCATTTAGTTGTCAATTCCGTAACAATTACGTGTGAAGTGCTGTTATTGCGCATAAGTGAGATGTAAACGAAAACGAGTTCTGTCTTGTGTGACTTGTGCTCTCCACCTCATTTGCTTGATCCACGTTTTTAGTTTTTGAGTAAATCTTATCGAGTGAAAATATTTTCTGATAGTCGCATGCGTTGAGGTTTCCATTAAAAGAAGGAACTCTTTGCCGGTCGTTTTCTCCCGGAAATACATTCAAAGGGTCCTCATCGATTCCACGCGAGGTACGTGGTTGAAATGTATCTTCAGAGGTTGTCATCTTTAACTGAAGTACTTGGGCAGTCTCTTCACTTGAAGCTCCTGCCGTAAGTAGTACTAATGTCCGACTATTTTCGCACATACGGGAGGGGGCACACTTGTGTAACATTTTTAAATATAATACGCAAACACACAGTGGAAAGGCACTTGGTAACGTTTGAGGATGCATTAATTTTTTAGTGCGAAGAGTATATTAAAGATGGTAAGTTTTGCTGGCATGTTTATAATAGTGCGCATTACGTTATAGGCAATGGAAAAAACAATCCTTTTGAAAACTAACATCAGCCATATTTTGACAAAGACAGGAAGTTTCTGTTCAAATTATCGATGGAAATTAGGAATTGCGGAATGTCGTTCGATTGAACCTCCACTTAGATTAAAAAGTTGCTTCGCTGTTGAAAATGGACGGTCAATGCAGTCTCCATGGGCTAATAGAACTATTCTCACTACAAGTGCCCTATCTCAGCAGCGAAGGGCGACGCTGCTGTCATTCGTTGTCATAAGCACTTAAGGGGAAATTAGGAAGCGTCCTCAGTCACTGTGTTTAGTGTCGAAAAGGATCAATGCTGAATCAGTAGTTTTCATTTTCTTGATCAGGTAAGGATAGATTCTACAATTTCTAAAATGTCGCAACGTAAGTTGCCTATACAGAATCGCAACCAAAGTCCATGACTAATACAGTATCATACTATAGTGCGAAACGTGCAGCCCGCGTATAGAATTTTACTGCAACAATGGTACAAGCGCGTTTGCATGGTAGTAACGTTCATAAATTTTATAGCCATTTAGAACGACGATCTGAGCGCGAAAAGACGCTTCATCAAGACGTACGTCTCAATTCTTGTTCAGTGTTAATAGTAATTAAACGTATTTTTTTCGATTTATTGCTAAACTGCTATAAAGTTATCACTTAAAATCTTACTCTATACATTCATACTTTACAATTTTTATGAAATATAACAGAGTAAGTTCACTTTGCCCACCAAATATCCCTATTTTCATTCGATTTTCATTGCCTATTCAAGTCATTTCATATCGTCCTTGAAATCAGGCCGCTATATCCGGCTTTGTGTCCTTCGGCAAGTTCGTGTCCTAATAATATAAAGCTGAGTTTTTTTAAGTGGGGAAAATAAGATTCATCAACAAATGTCTATAATAAGATGTTTAATGGAAAAACCGTGATTACTGCATAAGTATTTTCTAAAATTCAGTAGGCTAAAACACAAGTAGTTAATGTAACTATATCATACCATCAGATTTCTGCAAGAGCATCGCATGCTCTTATTGTAACGGGTTATGACATTTTTAAATTTTTTTTTTGAGTATGTAAATGTGATCTACAGCTTTTAGCTGAATCAATGTAAACATAAACCTCCTCTGTAATATATCAAACCACTACAAAGAGGCTGTGCTATACTGTTGTTCTGCCTATCTAATTAAGCAATTTTCAACTAAAGCACAACTGTTTATTATAACCAGTAGTTATTAATTTGATTATATTCGGTTGGTCCAGGCAAACCCTCTATGAAATGATTTAAAGTTAATCACATCGATTAAATTACACTGCTTATTAATTTGCAAGCCAATCTGCTGTATCTTTTTCATGGCGTCTGTATTACTTCCTTAGACTTTCAGCGTGTTCTCTAACCCAAATCTTTTCAAATGGCCGAATCAAGTTGACTGATTTACTAAAATACCGTTTACTCTGAGCCGGACCACCCCGTTGCTGTGAATGTAAGTAACTTAATCTCTTTTAGGAAAAATTGGGGTTCCTGTTCCCTTTACCCTCTGTTGTACCGGCTTCTTATATAATTCGTCCATTCACTTCCATTTTCTCCCACAATAGATAACTGATTCTATTGGCAGTTATTCTGGCGAAGTGATTGCATAAATAAAGTCACCTAGATGATACGTTTACCATTGCTTGCGCACACTCTGCGCAATGACCGCATCTGATTGAACATGAAGCTATTAGTAGTTCTGACAAATATGACTATACGACTTACAGAAAATATTCAGTTCGCCAATCATATAAACAGCTATTTGCGGACGTTTTAATGGAACGAATTATCCACGGAATCATTATCTTGTTATGCGCCAATGTTCAGCGTTATCTCCCAGAGTGAGATGTCTGGTTCAAGTTGGCTAGACTATTTTCTAAGCACCATAACTGTCTGTTGCAACCTGTTTCTACCAACACGAATTCCGCTTTCCTTAGCGCTATGACGATACTGCCATCGACGGCGATAGCAGCGGCGGCGGCGACGGCGGTAGCATCCACGGCAGCAACAACAACACGAATAATTAGATAAAAGAACAGTAAGGACGGCGCCGTAAGAACTATGTCTCTAAAACATAGTATAATGTATACATTTACCACGTAGCTGTTATACGTATAAGCTGCATGCTTCATACCGGTGCTTTGGTGTATGACCACATCTCAAGACTGACAGATTGCCGAGTTATAAAACGAGTTGCATTTGCATTTGCTCTGTTCATACGTGATTTGTTGTCGACGTTCAGTTTGTGTCTCCCCTGGTTTTGTGTAGCAGATTTATCCTTATGTGAACATACCTGAAATTGGATTTCTTCAAGCGCGTAAGATACATAAGAAAGGCAAGTGGATGAATGGTAATATGGCTCCTACATGAATCAGTTTTTGTACAAGAATAGCTACCACCATTCATGTGTTGTAAATCATTCAGCCTAGAGTCTACAATGGAACACGTACAATGCGAAAAGGACAAGCCATTTTTTCATCATCGAGTGCAAGGCGCTTGCATTTTACCTGTTTTACTTATTTGATAAATACATTCTATGTGCTATATCAGGCCAACTTAGTCGTTTTTTACCATACATAAATGAAAAACGTTCAAAAAGTTGTTAAAAGGTTCTGATTCCCTCTCCGCACGTAAATTCGCTCTGTCGTTTAACGCCCAGATACCGTAATTCATGAAGCATACGTAGGCTCGCTATCTTGTTCAATGGGCTGCCTATCAAATGCCTCTAGAAAAATTGACTGTTTTGACTTATTTCAGATATATATTGAAGAGTTTTATAAGCTTTGAGCAAAAGTTGTACAAAATGAATGTTGTAATACGCTGGTTATTTGATGAAACTTTCTGTGAAGCCGTTATATCATTTGAATATTCAGTGTTATGCTAGGTACAGCAAGTTCCGTGTTACGCTGGAACATACATTGAAGTATGAAAGAAATGTAAGTAACACAACTATGTGAACTGACAAAAATATAAGTAAGAATTACATGGCACGCTTTTGTGAGTACTATGCTTGGGGATGTTTGTTCATAATAAACAAATCTCTGTCCCTAAGATAAATACTTACGCTTGTAAAACGTGCATGAGACGTTATTACTCCAGCAAAGTACCTTGAAAGGCAACTGAGGCAACTGAACTGGAGCTTCAGACTTCAACTCGATCTGTTGGATTCTCTTGAGTCATTGAGAACTATTGAATTGAGAATTAACTCGATGACATATGAACAGTCCAAATGGCAAAAAAATAGTGAATCGTTCTTTGCAATTTGAAAGGAAATCAATGAAACAGTGAAAAAACACCGAAACATACTTGAAAGCCGGTCAGGCCGTCTAAGAAAGTTCCAACGGCCATTCTGATCAGGCCGCTAGCAAAGAAATTTTATGTGGGCAAACCTACCATGTATTGGATTGTTCACGAAAATCTCAGGTACGTGTTACAGTACATAAAATCAGACAAATAATCTCTGAGGGCACTATAACCATCCCAGATCACCGCTTATCGTTGTCATTGGTTTCTCCATTCTCTCAAAATGAAATGGCATGTGATCTTGATTCTTCTTTGATAGTAAAATGTTATCATCAGCGCAAAAAACGACCGCAGGACTGATCGCTAGCTTACTCCTAATTCAGAGGGGGTGCTTCAGAACGAGTAAAAGCAATTTTTTGGCTAATATTTGCATTCTGAATGTAGTGGCGGATAAAGGGAACGCCATGCCACCGTTCCTCTGCCAGAAAAACGAACTTATCTAGAAAAATATTTTGTTATTATTAGCACGTTTACATTTTTTTTGTAGGGCCGTACATAACATAAGCGTCTAAAAGTTAACGGCTTACGTCTTCTAGTAGAATGGTGCGTTCTTTTAAACTAGCCGGTCACTGCAGCATTGAATGCTTTTTTTTCTAAAGTTTTAAGATGAGCACATTTGGCCCACACATACAGCCCGGGTACGAATCCGCTGTTTTATTATATAAGGTACTTTTGAAGTTCGTGTTTAGCCAGTTCTCCTGACAATGTCAACTCGCTCACTCGTGTCCCCATGAGACGTTCGCACAGTTACAAAAGGAACATATGAAGCGAGCCTATGAGCGATTTAGATCCTGAGTTGAAGCCTTCCATGTTTGCGTTAAATGGTGACCATTGGGTGAATAGAACTGTCTGCAATGATAGTTTAGCACATGTTAAGCGAAGTATCGAAGTAGCAGTTTTTACATAATTCAATTATTATACAGGAAAGTTTGTAAACATAGTATACTTTGTTTTTCGTCAGATGGCAACGTGCCTGCTCACGCGACCATCTCGGCTAATGCTTTGTAGAAGCAATGTAAAACGTCAACAAACGAGACCCTCTTCAAGCTTTTCCCTCGACGGTAAGTTCAGAATTTGTATGAAGGGTAACTTTAATAATGCGAAGATGACGTTCTCAAAATTCACACAGACACACACATACATACACAGAAACGGAGAATTCTTAGACGAAGTTTAATGCATATGTACATTGTACTATTTATACATAAACATATCTATTATAACTATTCATAATAATCAATAATTGCCAGCTTAACGAATGTTTTTTCCTTATTACAGATAGAGTAGGTCTAAATGAGGAGCAACTCCAAATGCAAACCATCGCTAGGAACTTTACAACCAACAACTGGCTGCCTAATATGCGTCGGTGGGATCAAGATGTGAGCTCTTTATTTGCTTTATAAACAGAAATAGACACTCTGAGAAATCGATCAGTGCCGTTAGCATATTCTTACCCGATTACATTTCGCTAATGATCTGACCTGGCTGAATTAATTCTCTAATACAAACTTGTTAATCATTGAAATGAATAATTATTATCTGTTCACATTCTTTAGCATATCTTCCCTAGGGAAGCACTCCGTGCGGCCGCGGCACTTGGTTTCGGTGCTATCCGGGCTCGCGAAGAGTTTGGCGGCTCCGGTCTAGGGAACCTCGACGCGGCAGTTATCTTCGAAGCCCTAGCAAGAGGATGTACGTCGACGGCAGCTTACCTCAGCATCCATAATATGGCTACCTGGATGGTCGATACATTCGGTAACAAGGAACAAAGATCTAAATGGTATTTAAGTAACTAATTTATTTAATTAGATGTTAATGGACGTTGTCAATCTAATTAGTTGTAGCACAAGGTTAGATAGGCTGACGAGTATATTTCAATTCCAGGATTCCCAAACTCGCATCCATGGAATTTTGCAGCTCGTATTGTTTGACTGAACCAGGCAGTGGAAGTGACGCGGCAGCCCTTACCACCAAAGCCGTCCGTGATGGCGACCACTACGTTCTAAACGGAAATAAGGCCTTCATTTCTGGTGGAGGCGAGAGCGACTTGTATGTATGCATGGTTCGCACTGGTGGCCAAGGTCCTAAAGGTATACAGCTCGAAGGGGCAGAAAATAATTCATTGTTCATCCGTCTGTGTTAGCGATTAGACGTGTACAAACAGTAAACGAATGATCTTCGTTGTACGCTGTATTATCTTCCATGGTTACAGCTGTTTTTAGCTTGCAATTTCAAATATGATATTGACAATATTTGTCTATATACACATAAAGCGTGCCGTTTTTTAAGCATCTGCAAAAGTAAACGAGCCGATTAGAGGCTGGGTCTGCGTATCTCACACAAATGTATTGCTACGACAGGTATAACTTGTCTCGCTGTTGAGAAAGGCGCTCCAGGTCTCTCGTTTGGTAAAAATGAGGACAAGCTGGGTTGGAATTCACACCCAACACGAGCGGTTATATTCGAAAACTGTAGAGTTCCCGTAAGTAACCGACTCGGTGATGAGGGCCAGGGTTTTACGATCGCGATGAAAGGACTGGATAATGGTCGAATAAATATTGCCGCCTGTTCTGTGGGAGCAGCAGCTGGTAGCATCGAATTTGTCGTCAACTATATCAAGGAACGCAAACAATTCGGAAAGGCTATTTCTGATTTTCAGGTATAATATATTAACAGCGTTTGTACTACGTTGGCCCCGAATAACGGCTTCTATTACGTAATATTTCTACGGTCTTTTTTCTTTTTATAGTGAATTGACAATTAGTTAATAATAACCGGTGGGCAAGTTAGGGGTTTCAGTTGAATCGAATTGCTATTTACAAAGGTACCAAAGGTGTCCACTCTACTTTATTAACAAACTGGAACTCACAAGCACAACTACGGCGTCAGTTCAGCTAAAATTAAAACTTACGTCTGTAAAATAGTTTAATTGATTTTGTTAACCTAGAACTATTAAACAGATGGATGTGTAATACAACGACGGATTACGAAAGTTATCACTTCACTCAAATAGAAGTTTTTATTAACTTTCAATCTAGTTCAACCAGTTTCGCATCGCTGAAATGGCGACTCAGCTACAGGCCTCTCGCTGGATGGTTCGGGAGGCTGCACGAGCAGCCCAGGAAGAACGGCCCAGCACAACAGAACTATGTGCCATGGCGAAGTACTTTGCCACGGAGACGTGTTTTCAGGTAGGGCCATAATAACTCACCTTTCAGTTCACTAGGATACATACTTGTCGCTTCAAATCTAACTGTTACAGGAAGGTAAGAGGATATAGAAGCCGTAACAATAATTTCATTGTCGTAGCAGATGACGTTAAGAGCAAAGCCCCAAAGGCCATCAGGGTGAATTTCATTTTTCAGTTGAGACTCGGTGATTCTCGAAATGGTTTGTTGTTAAAATCAACTCACAATACAATTGTTGATAAACTTAAATGCGCTTTTCAAACGTAATATATTCGAAACAATACTAACTCATACCTGTCAATCCACTGCGCGTTGACGTGAGGCGTAAGCCGATCTCGCAGGTCACACGCCATTAGCTTTAGACCTTTAGTGGGAGTTTTGAGGCGTTGAAATGTGCCAACAATGGCAAAAAAAATAGGCAGTTAGGAATAATAGGCAAATAGGAATTAAGCAATTTCATTTTCTTCTAGATTACAGATAAGGCAATGCAGTTAATGGGCGGATATGGCTTTATCAAAGAATTTCCTGTGCAGCAATACTTCCGAGACTGTCGGGCGCATCCCATAATCGAGGGAACCAATGAAATAATGCGCCTTATCATATCAAAAGATATCTTCAAGTAGTGATTCGTTCCCTATAGTTGAGAAGGAAATACCACACTTCATTTGATGAGTATGTCTACCATGCAGAGAGCACAGTATCGACACTATAACAGTCGACACTAGAACTAACAGGCAGTGTATTACGAATACGATACAAATCTGCTTCAGCAAAATAGCTTACGAATGAATAAATGGATGCGAACTATTTTGAAAATACGGCCATCTGAGTGCAAGCCACGTCGGATACAGGGGCTTGGCAGATTAGGGTAAATTGTCAACCCTAACAAGGTTGTACCGGCCGTGCCATAAATGTATATATTTGAAAATGGAATAAAGAAAACGTTGTAAAACAAGCGTTGTCTTTTTGTAGTAACTCGGATACACTGTGCCTCAACAAGATTATTTTTTATGGCTACCTACCACCATTTCAAAGCGTACACGTTCGCTAGATTCTTGCAAACTACAACACCGTTCTGCGCAGTTGTATCGCATTATTGATTCAAAATTCCTTTTTCCTTAGGCAGATTTCTAGCTAGCGGCGTCTAGGCGCCTGGCAAAATAGGCACTGAAAATTTTCGTGGACTTTTTTGCTAGATTATGATCCGAATACTGGATTCGGTCGTAGTGAAAACTGTTTGACTTTTCGAGTGATCTCTCTGTTTGAAGACAACCGGCAATGCGTAGCATCATTTGAAGTCGCAACAGAGGAGTGAAGCGCTTCGACCGCAACCGATTCGGTGAACGTGCGAGTACCTCACAAAATCAATTAGTATCTCATTAGTATCCTAACAAATTGCTTAGGTTACATACTACGGGCTCATAATGAATATTCTGAAAAATCAAATTTAATAATGTAGCTCATCCCGATGACATCGAAGATGGGAAATGTTCTATTTTATTTTGGGTATATTACTACGTAGGTAAAAGCGAACAAATGCCGTGTTCAATTCCTGATACCGTCTGCTATGTATATGCGTCTGAATTTACGATAGTGATAGGATACAAAGATACGTTGTTCTCTTTCGCCTTCACATGGGTAAATAAGATTTTAACCTGAAGCATTAACGTATCGCCTGCAGTCGGACATATCCGCTCTGAAAAGGTTGTTCAATACGGATGGTAGTGGCGAAACTACGTTGCATGACGCTGGTTTATTATCTGTTTCTTTGAAATTAATAACAATAATAAATCAATTAAAATAATACACCACTGTCATAAGATTTATTAGTTTTTTAAAGCTTATATAAATCAGTACCCGACAGACGGCGCATAATAGTTTTACTCATTACTTGCTCTATACAGCTTTTCCCGTGGGAGAGGGCTAACAGTTGCATGAGAGACCGGTTGTTTTATTTTGCTGACATCGATGATTGCCACCGCGTGTGCTGCTGCTACGGGTGTTGACAATAATGATGATGCTGGCTTGAGAGGAAGAGCAATAAGCAGCAGCCGCTGCCACAACTTGTGCTGTAATTGCGACATTCCGATCAAACTAGACTTTATCGCCATTGAAACATTGTTCCATAAACGCCGAACAGTGGATTAACAAAGCCAGCCTGATCGATTAGTTATTAGAGGCTTTCTAGGATTGATTCGTCCACACTGCCTGCAAGTGGCAATAGTTCACACATACGTTCTGTATAAAGATGGACAATAACAAACACGCCGGCGCTCCCATGGCACTCCAATCACTACACACGGACACTGCAACACAACAACAGCTTGTGCTGTTTGCCCGCCCTATCTGATTCAAATTTTCCAGCCTTCTTCATTTCTCTCTCTGTAGACCCATCAGCTGGGTGCCTTTAAGCGGGCGCGCGGCGAGCTCGATACATATCGAGATTTTTTGTACGTTTCTTACGTAAATCATGCACTTGTCGCACGTCGAAATCTTCTCTCAGGCCTGATCTGAAGAACAGACACGGCTCTACCAAAAACTAGCCGGCTTTTTCAATCTTGACAAACTCGCCTGTCAAGTGATGTAGCTGCTGCGAACCAGCCGCCAGTCTCTAGCACGACTCCCAACAACAATCGCTACGGCGGGCAGCGAAAAAATCCGGGAAATTCTCCCTAATCCGGTAAGTTCCACTGACGTTTTCACTCAGAGTCACTTCGGTCAGCACTCTGGAGTCCGTAGGTAAATGCTCCAACGTAACACACTCCGATTGGGCAACCTTGCCATCGTAGCTCTCACCGGAGTTCCACTACAGTTAAGTCGGTTGCTGTACGTTGCGAAATTAGCTACAATTATTGAGTTTCATATTTGGTTAGTGTCTTAACAAGCTATTGAGGTGGTTCACATTATGCGCTCGGAATGGTTATCGCTTCATTCGAATAAATCCAATACACATTTTAAAATACTTGGCCCCGCACAAATCCAAGATGGCGGACGTTCTGTTCCATTTTGGTGATAATTTTGATGAGTTTTCCCACCATTCCTATATAAATTGAGACTATCGACTACAACAAATAGGCAAGTTGATGTTATACAACCACCAGCAATAGTTTCTTGGTTTTGATATTAGCTAGTCTTGTCTGTACCGCAAAATGTTCGCACTTCTGTGGGATAAACCACAGCACTATACGGTATCTATCCTGTCTCCCTCCTTACGTCTATCGAACACTAGTAGCGCTGCGTATGCGCAACTAACCTGAAAGCAACTACAGGATCTCCGTAATACAAGCATTCGTCGATAATGTGTCGCATACGAATATATTACGGAAAAAGTTGATGTTACAATACAGACGCCTTAACAGAGTTCAACGTTTACTTTCGTACGTTTTCCAGATTTGTTAGGTGTTCTTGTGATACTTCGCGATCGCCACTAGTATTATTCCAATTATTATCATGATTCTGTTTAGTACGTCTTGTGAATGATATGCGAACAGTGTGTATGCAAGTAGTGTTAGCAACGTAAATTTCGACATTGTCTTTTTAACAAAATTTGGTTGCATTGTTGAACGAAGTGATGAATGTCCTTGTGACATATTCTAGCAACATGATCGTGGAACGTCATCGGATCAAGCAGCAGACATTGTGCGCAAGTCGAAACATCCGAAACGATATGAACTCGACTATACTTTTGAAGCACATTCTTACATAATGACTGCACATTGGCTAGCACGATCTTGATCTCTTTAGTTTAGCTAAGCTAACTCAATATGGCATCCATTACGAATTCTCTCTTATCTGTGTTTCTTGTAAAGTGCAAATTAGAGTGATATGCTTGCTGAGAAACCCAAAAATGCGTTAGAACTTTGTTTTTACGGAGCATGCTACTATGCGCATTTAAATTTCAATTAAAATGCCCTCAAATGAATAACGCGTTCTAAAAATGTTTATTAAAAGATAGTTTCTATTGATAAATACTCTTTTGTATTGCTAAATGTAATAATTATTAAGATTAGTTCAGACAAAGTCCTTGTCTAACTGATCGGGTTAATGACAGGTCGTTCGTTTTTAAGCTCAATAGAAAATTATGATCGTGCTATTATTGCAAATATGCTCTAATTTTCAAGAGATGATTTCAAGTAATTTAACGGCATGAAAGATTATCCATAAGAATGGCTGCTGTTTATTTATCATATGTATTATGCTGTATATAACTTTGCTCTCTAATGTCAGCCAACAAACGGCTTTTCATTCCAATCTTAATGTTCCTAGCAAGTCGAAGCGATTATTTTAGATTAGTTGAATACGGGGCGCAGTTGATCTGCTAGCTCTCGTCAGTATGATTTATTTGCCATTTGGAATCAGTTGACATGTCATAAGCTTTGTATGAAATAAGGATTTCAAGTACCACGATTCATGTTAAAAAAAAAACAAAATTAAAAGCAAATAACGACATGATTTCTCGTTTTTGACTAAAATACTCACGTGCACATCTTGTTTATTAATAACTTTGCTAAGTTTGTCACATTTTAATCAACTAAAAAATATTGTCAGATTTTATCTTTTATGTTTGGACATATTCGATTTATAAGTAGGATAACCACTATACGGGCTTTAATTTGTATTATCTTCCCTCCTACCGTTATAACACTGAAAATTATTTTTGGTATAATAGTTTCAAAAAAAAGGCTGCAAGTATGTCCAAATTGGGGCACTGAAAAATTCGATGTCCTTTCTTCCTGTCGGACGCAATGCTTAATGAAGATTCTGTTTGTGAGACTGAAGTAAAATACTTTATCTGCAACACATAAAATTAACATCTACTTGATTGAGTGCAAATGCTCTTTGGTTCAGTACCTTGCTTGTTTATGGGTATTTGTTTAGATCTTGGTTAGAACTTACGACGTTGCAAGTTCAATTAGCCTATTCAAGCGTGGTTATTAATATTTATCCAAATGTTAAAGAAATTACTTTTACAGCGGTATTTTTCAAGTCACATTTGCAGTTTTGCTTCTTAACTGTGATATTGTTAACTGCATTTCCATTTCTTTATTTATAGCATCTCGCGTGACTGTACCTATGTATAAGTACTTTAAAACAGAATCACCGTCCCATTGATGCCCTGACTGTGTCCTTAAAATTGTACAATAATACTAATTGATAAATGTTCGTTTATGTGTATTTAACACACGGATTTTTTCAGGCATGGAGCAGGTGTCTTATGCCGCGATGGAAGTAAAGAACGAGACACAAAGAGCACTTGAATGGCAGTTAAATGAACTGCAGAAAGAACTGCGCGACACCGGAAATACTGATGCCCCCATGTCTGAGGCTAAGCTGTTGGCCGAAAATCCCCCCTCAGATATAGACGGTGGGAACGGCCGTCACGATCATGACACCGGGGTCAATATTCTCGATGAGGCGCTAAAAGAGATAGCAGCGGATACCAAACCTGATATGTCAGATATTAAATCAGTGCTTCTTCAAACAAGTGGGCCTATCGTAAGTGCAGTGTCATGCGCGGAGGTAACTGTACCCACTCAAACGCTAATAGCTTGCACCCCTCCTACACTTCCTTCCGAAAATCCAGGAACAATCAGAGTCGAGGTACCCAAAGTATCGCTACCATTCAAGATCGAATCGCCTCGAGCGACTATCGTGGCAAATGCTTGTGATACTCGACAAATAAGAGTTGAAATACCAAAAACAGCGCTTCCAAATAAGGTCGAGCAACCTTTGGCTGTCCTCACCAACGCTTCCAATAGCTCTCAACAAATAAAAGTTGAATTGCCCAAGGTATCTTTGCCCATTAAAGTAGATTCTTCTTTGGATGTAGTATCGAATAACCCTGATGGCGCACAGATAAACATCGAGCTACCGAAGCAGGCACAGGTTCCAATCAAGATCGATCCTCCGCATGGGGTCCTCACGGTGGAAGTTCCAAAAGTGGTTTCCGTTGTTTCGACTTCTTGTCCCAGTACTGCACCGACTGTTACATCTGTATCCATACCTCAGGCTATTACCCTAAATTCTGTAGCGAGCTCGCCATCTGTTCAAGGTGTCCAAGCTGTTCCAGCAGTTCAAGGAGTTCAAGGTGGGACTTACCGATTAAAAACGAACGCGCCATTGGGAAATCCTGTGGTCGGAACTCCTCTTATGGTGACTGGAGTTGTCATTCCTAGAGCACCACTATCTTCTAATTTAATTAGTTTTGTGGACGCGATGGGAAACATGCAGCTAGCGGCCGTGGCGTCTCCGCTAATCAATCCTGCAATCCAGATTCGTCCAGGGATGGTGGTAAATCCGGGAACTCCACTAGTAGTAAGACCTCCAGCTCCGCAGCTTGTGTCACCACCTGGCGCACTTGGCACCATTGTGCCAGTTTCTACACTTTCTACCGTGCAACCGCCCATCTTTAAAAGTACTGTAAGGGCGATTTTGCCGAATAAGACAACAGTTAAGACAATTTATCCCATCAAGGGTATGACGACCACAACCTTAAATAGCGAGGCCAAGCCTAACGATGCGCAGACGGTAGCAACTTCTCCAAGAGCTTTTACTCAGGCGCACGATGAACCAGAGGAAAAGCTACCGTCTCTAGTACAACCACCACCCCCGCAAACAATAATGCAGCCTTCTAAAGAGTCTGTCTACCCAGAACCAAAAGTCGAAAAGCCTAAAAATAACCCACCGCCGGTAGTTCTACCTGATACAAAACTACCTGTAACTGAGGTCACACCGCCCAATCAGCAGCAAACAAATGAAGCTACTTCACTGGCAAAAGGACCAGACGAAGAGGATAAAGCTAATGACGTCATTTTTAAGATTATGTCGGTAAGCAGTTCGCAAGGCACGAACAAAGCTGGCGACTTAGCCAAAACAAACCTTTTTAATTTACTCAAAACTGAAACCAACGTAGTGATAACCGCTCCATCAATACATGTGCAGGATATCCTTGAGGAACTCAAGAAACAGTTCCCAGATAAGAAATTTGTTATAAATTATAATTCGTCGAATACTGCTTCTAGCAACCTCAAGAATCTTGTAACACAAGCTGCTGTAGGAAAGAGGGCTATGAAAGCTTCGATGTTGAAGCCTCAAGTTACGGAGAAAGCGCTGGCCAAGCGTGCTGCAGAAGATGATAAAACAGCTGCACCATCAGCGAAAAGAAAGAGGACGCAGACGTTTAAGAAGGCTGCGCAAACAAGTAAAAAAGCGACTGCTTTATCGTCAACCCCAAAGGCTACTCCGAAACGGATGAAGACTGAGAAGACCCATGAGGTACCTCCTGTACCGAAGCCAGCAGCCACATACAGGTCCGCTAGGTTGCGAGGTGAGAAGGCACCCGAGCTGTTTTCGGGCAGAAGACGAAAAGAAGAGACACTTGCTGTGACACCCCAAAAGTTTTCAAAAGAACCCGGAACCGTACGACCGGTACGCGCTCGAGGAAGACCGCGAAAGGATCGAAGTGCAGCTACTCAACCAATGAAAATGGCCGAACAGGCAATTATTAATTCCATTAGAGATGTAGAAGTAAGTGTAGACTGGCTCGTTATAACTTAAGATATAAGTATAAAGCGAATATATTACTCTATAGCTGTTAGTTTTAACCATACGTTTTTGGTTAGTGAATTAGTGTTTTACGTCGTTGCTCTTTGTTTTCAGGGTCCTTTTGCGGGTTATAAAACTTTTCTCGAATTTAGTCTTAGAGGTACCATGATATACCATTTGTCAAAATGCCGCCTTTACAACACTTTATATATATATATATATAAAGACAATTTTTTAAATAACGAAAGGTGCAAATGTAGAACAATTAAGCAAAATGATTAAAAGGTATTTTACTTATAAAATTAACAAAATTTAATTTTAAGAAAACGAGAGTTTACTAGAAAATAACAAAAAGACTTTAAAAAAAAAACTAAGTTATCGAGGAGAGAATAAATATTGAAATTATAAACACAAAGTAAAAAAATCTAAAAAGTTACTTCTTAGTTTTTTTTCTAATCTTTCAAATGCGATTCGTAATTTTTCTATTATCAGGTTACTCTTTTTTAATGATCTTATAAACCTTTTGACCGGTGTTGAGTCTTAATGTAAGGATTTTATTTGGTGAAATGTTTAAACTATCGAATTTTTAAAGATGGTACATCCATTTCAACTTCTGAACTCGAAAGAAAACCTGTAATCTGGACAATCTACAAACAGTAAGCTTTTTGCAAAGGAACGAAAGACCCTTCTAACAATAGACCACTCTCTTAGTAGTAAACAACAAATTTACTGAGGCAACAAATCGTAAACACAAACCGCAAGGGCTTGTGCGTAGCTAACCTAACGTATAGAGCGTTGGATAAATCCGTGGAATCCGCCTTACATCTACGATAAGGAATATAGTTAAATATTATTAATAAATAATAACAATGAAAAAGGCTTTTTCCCGACCTGGCTTGACGGTGTATTTCCAAACATGGCGTGCAAATATTGTGCATATATATTGTAGGTGAAGTTGGATCACTTGCCTGAAGAAGTAGCGTTACAGGGGGGTTCCGTTCGAGTGGGCGAAGGAGTTGACGAGCTGATGGGCGGTCCTGTTGGTGAGGGAGAAGATTCTATGGGCTCGTCGACAACCAGTGGAGGCTCTGGGGGTACCGGGTTTGGCTACAACTCAGAAATTCGCGTAGGAGACGAGTTTCAGGCTGAAATACCGTTTCTTCTCGAGGGAAATCCGCCAAAGGACTATTCAGAACACGCCGATATTATCTACCACCCTGATAAGGTATATATTACACCGTTTACAGTTAAAAACAAGAGATTATATTTTCAAATTATTACAGATGATTATGAATTGATTACTGATTATATGTTTCAACCAGTTACGGGAATTCTAAAATACTCTTACATAAAACATCTATATCGAAATGTCTATTCAACGGTTTGAAGTACTGCCGATATGGGAACCACTTTTGTTAAATGTCGTTTTCTGTTTTTATAGAATGAAGTTCAATTGTCTCTATTAAAATTTGGTTACAAAGGAAAGTCTAGAGGAGGCACTGCGATCATGATATTTTTTCGGTACAGGTGACATTTCATTTGTCAGTTGTAGCTTCTAACTGATGTTGCTCTGTGATTCATCTTTAGGGTTTGTTAAATGCTTGTCGTCCTGAAGGTTCACGGTTCTGTCAAGATTTTCCATTATACGACTTCGTCGATTGGAGCCACCAGGACAAAAAAATGTTCAAACGCTATCTAGGTACTTACAAAACCAAGTTCGGAAAGTACCTAGCCGTTCTACCCAACAAACGGTTGCTGGATGTAATTGATCATTACTACTCAACACACAGTCCGGCCAGGGATTACGTCCTGCCCAAAAAGAGCAAGCAGTTAGTATTTCTTACAATTGATTCGTCCATTATATTTATTCATGATCTCACTTATGTCCTGTAACCTGCTTAATGCAGTTATTCCACTAGTTGCTTTTTTCAGTGTTACAGCTGAAATCTCTCTTATACATTTAAAATATTGTTTTTGAAATTTATAGTATAATCGATATTTGAATTCAGTCCTTGCCTCAAGTAAGTGGCATTAAAACGTGAGGACATGCTAGAGCAACCAAATTGTCAAAAAAAAAATCGTAAGCATTTCTTGAAATGTTATGTTTAACCGGGAAAAGCTTTACCGCTCTATTATTTCAAGGGTTAAGACTCCGAATGTTAACGCAGTGTGGGTGAAATCGCATACGGACAAAAAAACAAGATATTATTATTTGCAAGCGAAATATTTATTAAAACCTGTAAGTCTAGAATCAGTAACTAATATTCCCCCTTCTGTTTTTTTTGTGCGGTTTGCGTTTACGATTTCAACCTATGATAAATTTTATATATTAAACAGCTATTATCTGGTCAGCAAAAGCAAGCAAATGATTGCCCCAAAAGGAGTTTTTGGAATTTTAAATGAAAAGCGAAAGGTCTTGCCAAACCGCCGGTTTTGCGCAAATCCAAACATTGTTTTGTACGAAGATGCACTGCCGACGAGACGGCCAAAGGACACCGCTATGAGAGAAAAAACGTCTACAAACAGTTTACCAGTTGCTAGTGTCGCAGCAGCTGGAGCAGCTAACGCCAGCGGTGCGGGCGGCAGCGGCACGAATACTAGTAAAACAGCGAAAACAGATGCAAACGGGAAACCTACAAAAGTTGTGAAGTTTGAGGATATTATGAAGCCTCTTGCCGGTGGCGGAAAGCCCAACAATGAAAATAATAAGTCCGAAAGAACTGGTAAGTGGAATGTGCTATTGGATAGTCTTTTATGTTTTTATTATCTAAAATACTTCACCAGAAGGTTTCGAGACAGTGAAGAAGGATCTCAGTATCTGCCTAAAGGGCGTAATCAGTCATTTTGCTACACTTACATCGATTTACACAGGCTATGCCTTGGTGTTTTTTGCTTGCCTTTTTTAGACGCTACTGCCGCATCATCCGCTGAGAATTCAGACAATGAGAGTGTACCGAATTCAGTAGATGACTCACTAGACTACGCGATGAGAAAAGCTCGACCACCGACTGAGGATTTCGACGATGATGTTAAAGAGTGGATTTCGAAAGAAGTACGTTTACGCTGCATAACGCCGCAAAAACTTCAAACATTAAAAAATGAGTTGTGAACCAGATACGTCAATTTTGTTACTTTCATATATGCAGGAATACGTGTCAAAAGTCATTTCATTGGATTGAATAAATAGAGTTGAGATAGATGAAATAGATGTAGACTAATTACTTTTGACCTTCCTTGAATATGACAGAGCACTGCCGAATTGCCAATGATCGACGAGAATGTAGAAACGCTAAAAGAGAAAATCGGTTCTCTGAAAAAGCTGTTTCAACGTAACAAGGCCGAATTGGCCCAGATGGACTGCGAGCAGAAACGGATAGCTAAAACTGTTGAGCAGGTGACCAAGGCGATAGGTAAAGCTCGTAAAATCACAGACGAGTGGACCAAAGAGGACAGGTAGGCAAAAAATTATCCCGATTGATTTCGGTAAGGAAATGCACTACTTTCTTTAATACCGTGCAACTAACTCATATAATTTATATGACTGATATTTTTCAAGCGAAGATCTTAACTATTTCGTTCTCCATCGCAGGTTATTGACAATTCAAGCCTTTAAAAGTTTTGGCAAAGACTTCAAGGCTGTCAGTAAACTTGTCGGAACTAAGAGTGAACACGCAGTTAAGCAATTCTACGAAACTAATAGTCAACGGTAAGTGCCAGGGATTCATTGCACTATATGTTTAAATAAGTGCGATGTAGTTGCACAAACGCCCCGAAATTTCAGAACGCACAGTGAGGATAGAGAAAAGACATTTGAAAATTATAAGCTCTTTTAAATTACTTTTTTTAGTAACATACTTTTATCAGCGTTCCAGCAAGCCATCCAGTACACCCAGAGAAACACTGTATGTACCGTGGGTGTTTATTTATAATATACATCTAGAAGATATAGATAGTCCGGCTTAGCTTTCTTACTTACAGCAACAACCGTCTTCAATTTTTAATGTTGAGCTTATCCCTACTAAACTTTTTGTTTTTCTTTTAGCTATGGCCTCGATCAGCCGATCGTCCCTTCAGCCGAGACTCCAGCAGTCGTGACCCCGACGGGAAGCAGTAGTCCACTAAAATCTGGACCTGATTCTCCTGTGCGAGGCCCGCGGCCCATGCCTTCGATTCTGCGCAGAAAGATCTCTATCAAACCTCTTAACGTATGAGGCAAGCAAATTTGCTACCGAGAACATTAGCGCAATTAAAGATGTTCTGCAACAACACGCAAGCAGCGACAAATAATAGGAAGCTCCGGTGTTCCATACCAAAGCACAATTAAGTAAATGAATGAAACTGGGTTCGGTCATTTTCATCGCGTACGCTACGCACAAAAGCATAGTCTGGTTCGGATCCGTTTCACTTTCTATGCCAATAACAAGACTATCTCATTTCGTTTCACGTCCTCCACCTTGATCCTTCTTACAGAAATAATGCCTCGACCTAACACTATCGTTGTTTGCATACATGCTAACGGTATTTGTAAACAAGAGCTAACTTAAATTAGGTTAGGAGAATAGCCGCGCTTATAACAGCAGCTTTGCTTGTTTTTCTAATTTTCGTAGTATAATGGAACCCGAGATTTGCACAACTTGAAGTTCGAAAAGATAGAAATAATGTTGAACACTTCTTTTATTCGATGTCCCATTATCGTCCCATTTTTGTGTCAAACCTTTGTGTGACGTTCCGTCCATGAAAGCTTCCCTGATCGCTAATTTGTTAGCGTATGTATTTGTTTGCTAATTTTCATCCAGTTATGCTAACTAGCAGACCTTGTTGCTAAATTTTCTTTATTAACAAGCAAGCGGTTTCTGCAAGCACGCCTGGTAGCGTATTGCGAAATTTTGAAAAACCGTTGAAGTTTTGTACGATAAGTAAGACGTTTTCTGCTGCCGAGCTCAATCACGAGTTGTTTAGGATGAGCATTGTCAATAGCCTACCAAAGTCGTGTTTATATCAAACAAAAATAACAAAGGGCAAGCTTGTACAATAATCCAATCTGATTTAAATCTCCTCTCAAAAAGGGTGGACATTTATTTGCGAAGGGGTCTGCCTATCTCAGTTTAGGTAGTGGTTAGTTATTGCAATCGGATGCAAAACTCCAGACTCTGTTTAACAGAATCAGGGCGGATGACACATCCATGGTTCTATTAACGAGAAAGGCCCTAGCCTTAGGGCGTAGCACGTGTTTCGCATGTCAAGAAGCAGCTGAATTGAACGGTGCCAGTATTGCCATTGGAGCATCATTTGTCCATTATAATGATTGTAGCATGTACGAATTAACAGGAACGAAAGAACAATAGAAAAGAGCTGGTGTTATATATATATATCTATATATATATATATATATATATATATATATATATATATGCATTTATAAGTACACCTATCATTAGCTAATAACAGCAAGTAACACAGATTTTTATTATAACCTTACGACTATTCGATGTCATGTCGAAATGAGTTGCTACCGCGTTACTGAGGGAATAAGAGGTAACTAACTCGACCCGGAGATCGCTTGCTCAAAATCAAGAGGCAGAAGGGAGTTACTAGGTTAACGATAGCATTATATATGTTATTATTTTCCGTACAGAGTGTAATTGATTATTTATTCTCTATTTACAATGAGTCGCGGATATTTTCATATAGAGACACTATGGATAACTATAATCTATCACTAGTACTAAACTGTAGCACCAAGTAAAAGCTAGTAAAAACTTGTGACTTGGAAGATATTTCAACCGCGAGCATCCAGACAAAGAGCTAAAAGGAAAATTATAGGATGATTGTTATTTGTGTTCTGATTTGTTCCTACAGCGAGACAAATTCTGGTTGAAAGTAGGTAGGAAACTGAAATATCTCTGCACAACAGAGATATTTCAGTTTCAGTGCGGATAGATTAATGAAATTAGAGGAGAAAAGCGAAGCCATATTACCCTCGCCCTTTATGATGTCAACACTCTGACTGGTGACATTTGATTATATCATCGCAATAATTCGCAGTGTTGTCCATGGTCGGTCTGGAGCCCTGTTGCTCGAGAGAATGACGAGCCTATTTATAAACATTAACACAATTAACAAGGAAGCTGAATAATCCGCGCGTTTGTCATAGGTTATTAGTTTGGCAGTGTTTTGTTTGCGAATTTGAGGAGAGTGCAATTTAGATGACGTGTTAGTGTTTGTTGTCATTTTGTATCCCTTTCGTCATTTTCTGTCTGTTCGACCTTAATATCCGTCAGCGTTTTTCGATCTATGCGGAAAACGCTATTAACGATAACTAAAGGTGTCTATTCTTGGACTTGAATGGTCAGTGCGACGGCGTGAGCAGCAGCCTACTAAAAAAAAAAAGCAACGGTTTGAATTACTGGACGGAGAACGGAGTGGTCTTTGTTGTCCATTTTGGTATTGACCGGTGTGGGAGAGATACGAACTTTATAATAATTTGAATTTTCGATTGGTGCGTTGTTGATGACGTAACTAACTATGTTGTCAATATCTCCTGGATCCCCATTCTATTGGCATCTTTGCTTCATTCAAAAACTCTGATAATATAGTATTGGTGCCATAAAGATCGCAGTACTTATCTACTGACAAACGTCTAGCTTTCCATTTCACGAGTTGTATCACATAAGCTTTCGCTTTCCGTGAGCTTTGTCAAGATGGATAAATCTTTAGTTAGTTAGGGAAAAATGCTACCTCCTTGCCATTTCAGCGTAAAGAGTCCTTTAGAGTATCTTTTATCGCGTTTTGGTTATCACCTTTGAGCGACGCTGAATCTGCTCATCGGGACATTTTGACACTTTTTTGCTGGCATTGTTCTGCGGGTGAAGCAATTTCTCTGGGTATGCATGATCTTGACAACCGACTGTTTTAGACTCGTATGGCTATATATCGAGCACCGATGCAAAAGCGAAAGGGAATATTTATCTGTGTACATAAATTGTAGGTACAAGTAGAGATGTGGAACACAGCAAAAAAATCAGGATAGGGATAAGCTCCAATTGTTCCGTATTGGAATACGGCATGTCGGTAGCAAAGAAACAAAAATAAACTGAATCCCAGTCTCTATATATGTGTACTCACATATATATAGGCATATATATATATATATATATATAATTTAACAACTATCTAGGCATACCGCTATTACGAAGATGTGTACATACCTTTGTAAATCACACATAAATAAAATATGTCTTTTATAAACAGCGACTCTGTGTTTTTAGTTTTTTGCCTTATAGTATTAGTGCAGAAAGTTTTATCACATTTACGGCGAAAGTTGGCGCTACTCAGAAATTTTATATTATATCCCTTGCATGAGCTTCATGTGATGACTGTGAAGTGCTATGTCAAGCTAATAAAAAAGCGTCTATAAGCTACGCCTCGGCAAATCGGCCAGGTAGTCCAAAAATATTTTTTCTTTTCTATTTGCATTTAATTAACTGAAATAATTGGTAAAGGTGATATCTTCGGCGTGATTGATAGAACCGGCTCTAAAAATTACTTTCGATACGGAATTCAGGAAAGAGGCATATGAACTATATACGCAGATTGAACCCTGGCTATAAAGATTTTTTATACTTAACATTTTAAGGCTTACATTTAGATTGGCATGAAAGGGTCGACAGTTTTTACAGCTTGACCTAAAGCTAGACTGCCATGTGGTTGTGAAAGCACCTCATTTGTTTTACGGTAATGGCACAGCTAAACATTTAGCCCTATTAAAAATCCGTTATTAGTATAAAAAAATAAAGAAACTAGCTTAGATACACTTGTATGATGTCTAGTTTATTTAATCATTATATAAATTCTCTTAAATGTGAGACAAAGCCGGAAGTCACAATGGCTGTTTCGTTGAAATTTTTTTGCAGATATAACTTCTTGCAGCTTCTTCAACCTTCTCCTTAGCGACTGGAGCGTTCAAGCGGAGCCGGATTAGATTTTTCGACTCATTTTTATCCTTATTACAAATAGAAAAAGAAAAATACATTTTATTTTTATCAATTATTAGTTAGCACTATTATGAGAATAATTTTTAATTGTGAAACTGAAAATGTAATAACTGTAAAACATACTGAAAAGTTTTGGCCACTATCCGTGGTAAACTTGCGTTCGGAACAGACAGTTCCATTTGGGTCCGGAAGAGCCAGTTTTTATTATATTGAAGCAGACGTAATTGTCTTCCTTTTTACCTTTTTGGAACTTTTAGTTGCATTGGAACGTATTTTAGTACACAACTGGCCGTCTGGGCCCAGTGCTTCGATAAATGATGCCATCCACGCGGTGGCGTTTTGTTCAGCAAACTGATCCTGCAAGTCAATCAAATAAATAACAAGCAACTAAATATTTTACGATCTTCAAATAGAGTAAGTATTGGCAGTCCACTTCGGTCACCCGCTAGACCACAACTATGAACGGAAAGAATGGAAAGTAGATTATTCATTAACACTTATATATCTAATAGGTGTAACGTGTCTTAAAAAGACGCATTTTACAGGCGACCACAGCACTTGCTGTGGTCTATTTTGTGCTAAGGCAGCGAAATCAAAATCGTTTCTGTGCATTACGAATTATTACTGCGCAACAGATGCGCGAAGCGGGTAGGCTTCATATAATCAGCTTTAAAAAGACCATTAAGTAGGCAATAAAATAACTTCAGGCTACTGTGTCAGGCAAACAGAAATGGTAACCTACTATATGTTCTATTTTATGGCAATGATAAGGAGTTTTATTATTACTACGATGACTTTCGAACATAAAGTTACCTGCTGAGGTATGCACAATTCCACGAAAACTTTTCCACACGACTGTAAAGCTACAAAGTAACGGAGTGATTTGTCTTGGTCTCTTCGCTCTTTAAGCACTTTCGAGACAGCGGCAAAGTCGCAGTCTAAAGAGATGCAGCCAATCAGAGGGCTCTTATGCGGCAACCCTGACAAAAGTGCGGATATCTGGACACCAGGTGGTACAACAAGGACAACGTTAGAATTCATTCTCAAAGCTTGAAAGATTCCGGAGAAAGCTAATTTTTACCACGTTATCAATTTACGACATGTAAAAATAGGCTCTAAAGTAAACTTCTAACGCTTATTTTATGCTTACATACGACGCCTTTTAGTTTGCAAAGGTGCATCGGCATGTACATATAATTTTATTGCGAGATAGATAGTATAGTACCTTTTCTTCGTGTAGCTTGTTACTGTTTCTAATTAGCTGCTCAATCCTACGATCAATGTTATGAAGCTTTTCCTCAGCATCGACTACAGCCAAATACGGAAGCAGAGACTCATTAGCGATTTCTTGTCTCAGAACACGCATTTGTCGACGACAATCTTCGAGTTCTGGATACCTGGTTTCAAAGGAAACATTTTTCCCGAAAAACAATGTCAATTACAAAAGATTTCTATATACAGACAGTATTCAGCTCAGTTTAGTCGTCGACCATTAACCCAGTGATAGGCGGGGAAGGCTTTGCTGGTTAGTATGAATTATTAGTAGCAGTTTAAGAATTCAGATGAACAACTTTACAACACGTCGCACAGCATTAACCGTTTAGGTAGCATTTTGACCATCGGATATTCTAATTTCTACAATAATATCAAGTTGACTCCAAAAATATCGAAGAAATGCTTTTAGGTAGGCGTTATTTATTCACGAGTTTGGTAGTAAACAACTAGGCAATAGAAACAAGAAACTGACCCGTATCACACTTTTCAAAACACAATGGGCAGCTTAAGTAAATTGTGTGTACATAGTAGTCGGCAACCGTTGCGGTTTGCGTGAATATCATCTTCTACATATAGCCTCAGGCACAAAGTTTGAATAAATTGTTTACACAGACAGAGCAATAAATAGCAACACTCACTTCTCACGTGAAAGCTGAGCGACCCTCGTTTGTAGAGTTGACACTTTTGCTAAAACTATGTCAGCATTTTCGACAGCTTGGGCCGCCTTGGCAGCCGTCGCAGTTACAGACTTTAGGTTGACGCCAAGCGATCGGGATGACAGGACGACTACACTCGGAATCTCACCAGTGTGCGATACATGACTACAAAGTATTAATAAACGCTAATTATAAAAAAAAAGACAGCTCACGTACATAATGCTAGTAGCCGTAACTTCTCCAACTCTAATCGGAGCAACTCGAGCTAGCTTCTCATACGAAGCCTTGTGAAAAAGCCGCATAGTTTCTTCCTTCAAAGTATTTTATCCTTGCCGAAAATTATGGAAGGCCTGGAGTCCCTCACAGATTACAGCTCTCAAGTTTCTCGAGACAAAACTGCGAAAGCTGTGACATGAGCACTGGGCCACGTAGCCATGTAACCTACACTCAGAGATTGAATTTAAAAAAATCCGAGTTTGCCAAAGATATTTACTTAGTTTTCAAAACCTTTCGTTCTTGTTAAAGTTGACCTCTCCCCAAACCAATATTCTTGCGCTCATTTCTCAGTGATCAAAACATCCTAAATTCGATTGCCTTTCAGTTCTTCTACCTATTCTTCTTTAAGGCTTTGTTATATTCTAAGAACGAAAACGTTCTACACAGCCAGACCCTTTGGTGGTGGCTACATGATATGAGGAACACTTCAGGTATGAATCGTCACGCGTCCTTGTTTATTTTCTACTGTTCCTTTGCTTGTAGGCACTGTAAAGGACTCTTATAACAAAGATCAAGATTGATATTTTTCCAAACTTGCCACGGCTATAAGATCACAATTTCTATATATCGTTTAGTCTTCTGTTCTTAGTACCCTTTTTAACACTAAACTCAATGTAAAGTCGTCGCTTCACCATCATTGACTCGAGGACGAAAGAAAAAATGTCTAGTGAACGCTGTAAAAGACCTAATGTTTAAAACATCAACTAGTAATTCGATTTTACTTAATGCGAAACACCTGCTCCAAGGCAATGTTAGCATGATCCCTTGTAGCAAATTTAACGTTTCTAGCTCTCCATTTTTCTAAATATCCGTGCCTTTTTTTTTCTAGCCTTCGCGTATGTCGTATAGCACCAGCCTCCAACTCGTTTTGTCTGTTCATAGTATGATGGATTTCACGAGTTTTGTAAAGAGCTCTAGCATTTGCAAACTATTATTGCCGTGACTGTTACTCAAATTTGACATAGATTTATAATACAATACCTTGAATACATCTATTATACATCTAGATAGAAAAAACAGAATCCACAATAGCGTGTCACCGCATGACCAGCTTACGTTCCACAACACGGTTCAAGGGACACATCTCCACAGCGCACCAAACGCACTTTATCTGGATAGATCTCGCCTGGAATTCGAACCACTCGCGGATTGCTCAGCACTTCTTCCCGAGCTAGTTCATCCGACTGTATCAGATGATCAGCAGCGATCGCCGAATTGACAAATTCTTCTAGACGGGCCACATTGACGGGAGTCCTGTTAGAAAGTAATTGGAAGAATGACGCTAAATAGTGTACATTACAGTCTGCTGTTACTTTTTCGAGGTGTAGAAGCAAATAGAAAAATTAAGTAACTAACAGTTTTGCAAACAAAATTGTTTTTTTTTTTATTAGCTGCAGAAGCATCTACTCTACTCGAATATTTAGTTTTTTTTTTTATGGAAAATACTTTATTCATCACGATGCAATAACCTGACGCAAATTTCAGATTCATCGTGAAAAATATTTGCAGCAATTACATACATAGCCCGACCGAGGCCTCTTGCCATAATAATGAGAAATGTTTGTTGTGAAGGATCTTGACGGATATACGCTTCTTTGCGCACTGAATGCTAGAGGCAATACATTATTAAAAGTCTTGTTGAAAAGCCATACCTGGTAACAACGTCGAGTCGAAAATAACTTTCGCGAACAGCGGTACTGTGTTGGTGAGATCCCTGCCCGAGCTGATCCTTCAAACCTGCATTTAGCAAATGGCAAGCTGTATGGTGCCACGTGCATTGTCTTCTATGGGCTTGATCAACGTGCAGAATGACCTCATCACCACATCGAAGCTTACAGGATGGGCCTTCAATTACATGAAAAATGTAGTCTCCGAGCTTCTCTAAATGTCGAACCTGATATTCCGTCCGCGCGTCCTGAAATCGTAATTTTTTTTTTAAATGTCATGCTCAAGTTGCAGCAATATAAAAATAGATGGCAAGTTATTTGACCCTTGTACTTTAATTGGGGAACGTACAATTGGATTTCTGTATCGATTAATGAGTTTCTCCTGTTTTATACACAAATCTGCCAATATACTTCACTGCCCGTAAAACTTTAGTGGTCAAGAAGATGGAGATAAAAAATAATAAGGATGTTGAATATTACCTTCGTAGTTATGGTACCAACGTCAGGAATCTGTCCGCCTCCCCCAGGAAAAAAGCAGGTATTTCTTAACAGCAGTACTTGACGATTGTTGCCAGCGTCGGCGCAATAGAGAACATCTGAAGACATTTCTACAATAATAGAAAGAAACAGCTACAGTAAATCTGTAACGCATCCGCATTATAGTCAATAAAAAACGAAAATAGAGTTTTGGCACAGTTATACAAAATGCTTTGGCTTCGCAAACCTAGGAATCGTTATGTGGTATTGACTAGCATTTTCATTTTGTTTTCAAGAAAAGACTCACCGTAAACATGTTCGTATATTTTAGTTTGATCGGTGCTAGGTATTGAGGCTGCACTTAATGCGTTGAAGTGAGACTCGAAATCAATGTGATCCTCGGTGGATGATAACGACTTGCTTTGCGACTTTTTACGAAAATTTTGGAGGTGTTCATTAAAACCGTCCCAGTCAATTTCCTGCCGAAAGGAGCCGTTCACAACAACAAGAAAATATAGAAAAAAAACTAACGCGTGTAAAACTGGCTGATTTATTTAATGTAATAAGGCTTTTATTTGGTTGCATAATTAAAATCGTTCGGAATTAGCAGAATTACGTTTGAAATATAAAGATATACCGTTGCATAAGGTATGTCAGTTCGCCTAGGGTTGAGCCCGAACATCAAGCTAAGCATTACGAACAAAAAATCTTACTTTAATAGACTTTTGTGAGCAGACATCCTCGATATTTTCCTGCGTTAGACCACAGCTTAAGTATAGCTTCCAGGCTGTGCTTCCTGAAAACAATAGTTAAATCTGAAGGATTAGTCTTATTTGTCTTTTCGTTTAGGTTTAAAATCCAGAAGCGATACTAGTGTACCATTTACTTGAGAAAAGCATTAAGCTCGTATTATATCGCATTGGCTGTCACCAAGAATGCAGATAATTAACTTCGGCAATTAAAGTGAAACCTATTCTAAATCACATTTCCTTTCAATGTTATACACTGGACTGATTATAATTGTCTCTTAACATATTATGTTTTCAACTATAGTAATGTTATTTTCATAATTTTTTTACCTTTGGCTATTTTTACTCTTTGAACAAGATTCCGGAATCGCCTTTTCGTTATAGCATCAACGACTTACAACCACTAGAAGGTCTCAAAGCCCAATCAAGTCCAGCCAGCTCCCCCTGGCTGGACTTGATTGAGTTTTTTCCAATATACCTATGAAACGGCATGGCAAACATTTGCCGGTGCTAAAATTTAAACAAACGATGGCAACACATAAGCAACCCAGACCATGCCGCCTGTGCATAGTGTTGGTTAGATATTTGAAGTTATCGAAAGCTTGTGAGTCTGCGCTAGATCAATGCTTCCTTGAAGCTGTATTTTTATTATTTAGTAATTCTATTTTATATAATTACTTGAAACTTTAAAACGGGGAAACCCCTGATCATTTGGACAATATGTAGCTTTCACGTAGCGTGATAGGTTAACCTTTGTACCTAAATTAAGGCTCATAAACAGCTATCGATTGATATGTCCTATACAAAACACACCGCGAGGAAACTGCACAAAGAACTCTAGAACGCCACTATTTCGAGCCAACTATAATCCTACGAAATATCGAAACGAGACTGTGTAACATATTTCGTACACATGAAAGTTTGAAATTGTGTATATTTGACCTTTCTAGCCGCAGTGCTATGTGATAGTACAGGAAACACTGGAAACTTCCTAAGGCATCACACTGATATTATACAATGATATATAACTTACAGATATTAACATCATGTGAAATTCATATATGATCGTCCAGTGACGAATCGAGGAGAGCAAGCCCTGAGTCCAGTGAATTAACGATGAAAGCTTTACTCTTCGAGTTGCAGATATTGATTTTCCTTTGTCTAACAGAATAGGTAAATGTATCGAATACTAAATGACCTCAGTAATGTTGATTTTCATTCATCGTGCACCCGTCTCAAGGCCATTGTACTGAACCCTGAATACGATATTGCAATGCGACATGGAAAACTATTCCAATTACAAGATGGCAAATATATTCCCCAGTTTTGCACGATGTATATTTTTCTATGTACTGCAAACCAGCAAAAGTCTGTAAAGGATGAGTTTAGTAAAAATAATAGCAGGTAAACGAAACACTCAGATTGGAGTCGAAAGGTAGCACTATATTTTGCTATTTAGTACGAACGAACCTGTTGAATATCTCTAATTTGAGAATTCTAGGTTAACATTACAAATCGAAACGTCTCTTTTTCTTTATTAGAATAATGCATTTAATGTATACATGCATTTAATGTAGCTATCTTCAAAACATAGCTGACTAAAACCAAACAAAAACTTTACTAATAGGAGAACTTTCATAAAAACCACAATACAATGGCGCCGACGCTTGTAATAGGGACATCTCTTCCTCTACTCAAATGAAGGTCAATAGATAATATTAGCGCGGTTTATGATAACCGGATGTTTGTAACAGCCTCTGTATGATGCTATCACAATGCGAGTATATACACGTGCACAAAACATAGGCTACATTGCAAGCCGTTACGAATGTGCCAAGAGGCGGCATGCAAAAAGATTTCGATCTTCAGTTGAAGCCCTTTAGTGCCCTTGAAGTATTAGAGTGCTACTTATTGTCTGTCCAAAAACGAGCATGGAACTCTAAATCAAAAGGATTAGATCTTAGTTAAATTTTTAAAAATTTGAGCAGGTTCACTACTCTCCTATGGGCATTATATCCTCTGAGTTGTGTTTAGATGAGATGCCCAATATAGTTCTTAACAGGTCTATACTTAGCAACACCAGAACGTGCTTAGTCTAATCATCACACAAAATAGTTGTGAATTTCTGTTCTATCTTGTTGTTCATTTTCACGCAAATTAAATTCGCTTAATCAATGTTAACTACTGTACCCGTTACAAAATTTCAGAACTGCGCTTGTATCTTATACTCATAACCGACTTTCTACAAGCATAAATACGATGATTATTACCAAAGTCCTCATCCAGTCGATAATTTCTATTGACGTATAGGAAAGTAATGTCCGCTGTTAGTTGTTGCGCTGTCTGCAGCAAAAAGGTCGACTACAGCACGATGTTAGAATTAAATTCCGACGCACCAACGGCTCCACGTAGATAGTTCAACTGCTATGACGGTAACCTGGCAAACTGGAAAAATGTCACAAACACCTCTACGCCTTTGCATGCATAAATCCAAAAGTGCACCTTTTTTTTGGACAGGGAAATCTACACATATGGCGCATGACTATAACCTTACAGTCATGCTTTATTTGCAAAAATTATATTTGCTTTCTGTGCATCAAATAGTAAGCAACGAGGAGATAATTAGGCATAGAGAGCCTATAATCTCATTATCCTCAAGTGTAACATGATTTCCTTCGCGTCCTTTTATTCTAAAGAAAGCTATTTCATCGGCACTAAAAACAATAGGCAGTTAAGTGGTAACATTTTTTTTGAAGCTCTGCTTTTACTCTGCTAGTTCCTCAACAGTAACAGAGACTGTTCGTCATCCTATAAAGTTTTCTGCCACTTTTCCTCTCATCGCATTTACGCGTCGATTAAAAGGTGCAACATTGACGTTGCTAGAACCAACACATCGTCTAGGCGTACACACATAGAAACATATGTGTGCTATTTAAAATAGCGTGAGTAAGACGTCCATATAGAAAGAAATTGATGTACTAATTGTACATCATGAATTAGGCGAATAATAATGAGATATAAATAGGAACGTAAAAAGAAACAGATATACCCTCGATTGAAAATATGATATTCACCTAAATACCCTGAAAATGCAGGAACAAGAATGCTTTAAGGAGAACGCGTACGTTGTACATAAATTGTGTCCTACTACTATTTATTTGGATAGCTTTTGTAGTTTGATAGGCCTATTATCTATGAAGTTTTTGTATCTAAACGCTAAACGTAAACACTATTAAAAAATGTTCATACGCCGATTATATGCCCGATGAGTGTGGTTCAAAAGCACCAAATCAAATTATATCGCATAGGCCTGAGGACATATTTCACATAGAGAGAGGCTATTTGTTTCCTAAGAGTTAATCACGAAGCTAAGCTAAATATTGCTTGACTAATACGTTTGTTAAGAACGAAGAAATTAGCAACTGGATGCTACAACTCACGGGCTTTGTTCCATGCCTGTTTTGCTATGAAGCGCATGTCGAAAACATTTGTTCGCGCGACACGATTCGCAGAGAAATATACATGGAGTATATATTAGTACGGGCAATATTGGTGATCGGCCTGCTGTTTGTAAACGGTAATACTGCGTTATTTGCGAACCTCGAAAACGTGAATGAAATTGTTGCTGTCGGCTTACGGCCAATTACAACATTATGCTTTATGCGAAAAATAAATTTTTTCCTCTAGGGAAAGAAGTATTTGGATAGTTGGTTTTTCCCTTTGCGCAGGGAATCCCGGGGTAAATCTCTTACGATTCAGGAGATATTAGCCTAATCAACCACTTTAAGGAAGCGTCTTAGATTCGAACAAACACACAGACATTAACAGTGCAGTAAATTAGATTATATAGGTAAAAATTCAAAAAGAAAAAAATTAATGTCTTTCAACGGTTAATTTTTTACAATTTTTCATTGTAAAAAGACATTCATTTAATTTCTTCTTTTCTGCATTCACAGGAAATTGGAAAACACATTAGTCTGTTTTAAATTACTGTTATTTATTTTTATATTTCGTTTTATATAATTTTTCTATCATTCATTGTATTATCTACTATTTATAATTATCAGCTGCAAAATGTAAAATTTTTACATGTTTTCGTTCTGTTTAATATGCTGCATTGCTTTATTAGCCAAAAACGTGATAAGGCGGTACAGACGGTAGGAATAATTCCCAGCGTTGTTGCTTCAATCGCCTTCATGTATTTACGGAAAATTATTTACACAGACTTTTCACAGTTGCAACATTATTTTCTATAATAATACAATATATTAGGCATTATATTAGATTCTTTCTCTCTCTCGCTTTTTTCTGCTACTCTTTTCCCTGTTTTGCATTTCTCGAGTTCCCGGAACGTCATGTGTTCAATAGAGTCGTTGTGGATGGGATATAATACAAGCCTTACATTCTGATACATGCCTGAACATGGCACTAAGAAAATAAGTAATACCCAGTTGCGTTCCTCATCCTCATGACCATATGCTCAGAAAACTCCTTTAGTTGCCATAGATTATACCGGCATAAAGACTTTTACAGGAATGAGGTCGGTTATTTATGACTATACCACTAGGAAACGCCCACAAGTTCTCTCTGCCCGGTGGGCAGATCTTCCACAATATCCTATATAATTCGTAGCCTCGAAATACTTCATTTTTGATATTGGATGAAGTTATAATTAGCATTGTTATGTTCTATTCTTGTTGCTCGTGTCTACGAGAAATGTGACATTTTATCATATATATCTCAGTCACCGTTCTCTCTGCGAGTCGGTCATGATTTCTTATATGTGGCTCTTTGCATAAACCACCTATATATGTCTGTTACACATTGATCGCCATTTCTTCGTCATCAGTTGATAAAATAACTTCGAAAAAATATGTACATCCATTCTATCTAGACTCAGTCTTTTAATTCGAAGATCGTTATGATCATCATTATCCCTATTCCGTTAATTTAATGTAACCTCATCTGCTCCACTTCGGGTCATACCCATTCCATTCGGCTGGTGGGGCGACGTAAACTCGCCGACCATTATGCATACACGATACAACGCCACGGTAACCGGTTCGTGGCACGCCTGACTTGAAGTCGTCCATTATCGACAAGGCCTTGGCAAGGCGTTTAAATGTCGTCTGGCTTCGATATGTCAATCGAACAGCGCGTGACATCGGCAGTGCAATAGAGCCAGACAATATTGAAGGCAGGGCCACTACCGGACTTCCGTACACCTCCTTGACAAACTCGACGTCATAGTTATCTTTCAGTAAATAGGTTAGATCGCGTTGCGAAAAGTCGATCGGTTGTGTATTTAGCTGGATGTATTTAAGATGCTTCTCAAAGAAGAGGCCGTTACTTACGCCAATCTTTCCGAATGTCTTTGTTCGCGATATTTCTGGTCGGATACAAGCCCGATTCCTTCGCTGTGCAGGCTCACGAATCCAGTCATCCCAGAATGCTTTTGGCCAGGTCATCATTAATTCCTCAGTCCACAACCGGCGCGTGAGCATCCATCCGAGGCCAGGAAAGAAATCTGACCTGTGAAGTAACGATGCATTATTTTGGTCGATCAGGCCTGCTTTCCCGTTGTCGTTCCAGGCTGAGACGCAATATAGGGTTGGATCAGCCTCTAGAATGGGTAGCAATGATTCAAAATAAGAAAAAAAGTCGGGTGACACTTCCAGGTCGTCTTCAACGATAATTGCAGCATCATAGTTAAGGTCGACGAACGTTTTGTTGAGCGCCCAGCCATAATGTCGTGCGATTGCGTAGTATCCCTTGAATTTTTTCTGTTTCAGCGGCAGTTTGTACTCCGACTGGTCAGGCTGTTGTATTAACTGAACCTGGTTACCATATGATCGAATGGTGTTTAGGGTGAGCTGATGGCTACAATCAGCCGAGGCAATAATAGGGAAACGCTCGGCCGAAGGCCGAAGTGCTAGCAGTTGTTCGATGGGTTTCCGGACAGTAACCCGATTGCAAGCAAAAAGCAGTATAGGAATGACGCGTTTTGCTCCTCCTTTTACGCCGATAGCGTTTTCTTGTAATCTGCTACCGAGCGGGAGCTGTGGTAAGCTGATGTTTGTTCGCAGACCGCCGGTCTGCTGACGCGTTTCCCGAACGGTTTGGACACCCTGAAAAATCTGCTGAATTTCAGCCTTTTGGTCGCGGAGGTCGAGCTCTAAGCCTTCCAACTTAGTCTGCACGCCATGTCGATAGTATTGCGCTAGCTGGATGTCGGGTGCTCGCAATAGACGGTAAGTAAGGGCGATCCACCCTACCGAGGCGAGTGACAAAAACACTAGTAAGTAAGGACTCCGGCGCCTCATGGCTATGATTGTAAAAAGCTAGCAGCTTTAAATTGGCGCTAATCTTGATGTACCATTGTCATGTGTCAACTCTCTGTTTATTTTACACAGAATTTTAAAATGTTTTTTCAACAATAGCTCTTAATCGTCTTCTTATTCGTATGGTTTCTCAGTGAAGCACATTAATAATATGCTTATCAGGACTAACTGGCACCACAACTTTGTTGCTACGACCTTCCACTATCGTTGTAAATAATCAAATTGAGGCAACTTGACTCATACGCTTTCTCTACTGCTACGGCTCTCTCTAGTGCTATATAACAATTTGGTTCTACAAAGCAATGCAATGCAGATCTTATTCGCTGTTGAGCAAGCGTATGCTCCCGCACCAATCGTCCACGGGTTCGGTCGTCAACATGACTAACTTCTGTACAGTTTAATGTGCACTGGAGTCGGGGTGATCGTGTCTTGTCATAATGTCGTTTCGAAGAAGATAGAGAACGTCGATAGCGGAACTGATGGCAGGATTGACAGTATCGGTAAAACACCTTGATATCCGATACAGACTGGCTATCCTCCATGCTGTGCGTACTCCTTACACGCTAATATTTTGATCTCGCGTCGTTACTCAAGACGTCACTGTAGCTACTGGCGGCAGCAGTATCCGACGTAATACGCGCCCGCACTTCAAAACCACTCTTCTTCTTGGCTCTTGTTATAGTAATGTCTCACGGTCACTCAATATGCATAGCCCACCTGGGCTAGTTTGCGCCAGTTAGTCTACCATGATTCGATGCTTCAACATTTCAAGGCTTCTGAATGGTTATATAGAAAGCAGCAATGTTTATACTAGTAATTTACTAAATTTCAATATTACAAAATTACAGTAAGGCTTCCGTTGAAGATAACTGTAGAGGAAGCCACCCCGCAGCACTGGCTCGATTTAAGTAGAATGGTTACCTTAGATACACCCGCTTTTTCTTAAATACTCACGCTTGGCAACGTTCACATTATCTATTTGTTTCTACTTAATCAAAAATGTGAGATGGTATCTCACCTCCTTCTACAAGCTTTATAATAGATTAATTTGAGCTGTAGGTAAGATTAGCCTTTTTGTACACCCAGTTTCCTGTCTCCATTTATATTTTACGTGTATATTGTGTCCCGGTCGTTACAAAAGTCTTCATTTATTTTGGAAATTAATTGCAATGGCAACCACACACATAAATTATATTTACGTATTTCATCAGCTTTCTCTACCTCCATTGATATCATTAGCGCATCGTTTGCTCTCAGGCAAACGAATATTGATAATGAAGCAGTTGGTCTGATGGTATGCCTCTTGCCACATATGGAGCATAACTCTATACTATCGGCATTTATTCAATATACACGTAGCTCTAACGGGTGATTCAACGCCTACTCGTTCCCACACACGAATAACTACGTGGTCTTTATAAAGCCAGATCTCTTTTTCGGCTTCATTACGAAAGTTTGTTTCCATCGGAATTGACGATACGGCCGTCAAACCGTTTACCAACCAAATAGACATGTATCCGCATCATTAATTACTAATAATCAGTTTTGTTACACAGCATTCCATTATTGTTTCTTAATGTAGCGGCGCATTTTTCTGATTAAGTGTATTCTCGTCAATTTAGCTTACAATAATATGTACCTGGTCAATACGCCAACATTTTGTACCTAGCAGGAAATCCGTAGTAAGGATGCTGAGACAACTGTATAATCTACTATACTGATTCATTAACTTTAAACTTTTAGAAAGCTTCACTGTATTTGTATTGCTTGTCCTTTCAGCGCTTTCCGGCGTTATTTCCGATTTTTTCTTTTCACTGTTGATTACACCACACAGACACACGTAAAGATCACTTGCACGATAATGTCAACAACGCCCATCACGATCAAGACCTACAGATCGGGAGAACAAATGAAAAATGCGCGGAACTCCCTAGTTCCGACGAACCTATGGGCCTTAAGAAATAAAGTCCGATTGCTTCACAAGCTGCTACTGGGGGCTACCCCGTCCGAGCAGCCACTGTCTCATTAGCAGCGAGAAGCTGAGCATGTAAGACAAATCTGAATCACCCAGCTGTACGGGATTCAACTACCGTTTCGGCTTCATTCATTTGTAGATTATCCTTGGATTCCTTTGTATACACAAGCTACGACTAGTCACTTCATCGCCTTGCAACAAAGTACTGATTGCGGGTGTATCTACATATTTAATGTTTGTTCAAACGCGATTGTTCACTAATAAACAGGTTTTTCAGTGCGCACATTTCGAAAGGTGCTGTTGCTGCAGTAAAGTACGCGGAGCAATTGGTGGTTCTTCGCTCTTCGTGAATTTCTTCATTCAGCCGAGGCAGCCGCTCACTGTTGCAATGTCGCCGTTCGTAGTAGCTGTTGGCTAACCACTGGTAGAGACAATCTACGGCTAGTAGTACTTGCTACTCCAAAACCATGGACACGATTCTAATTGATGCTGATACTGGGATAGGTTGAGCAGGTGTCGCAAGAGGTCTACCCTTACTAATTCGAAAAAGCCGAATTATGAGAGAGCGCTGCTTTCATCAGTTAATAAAACCAATCCCTTCCTTAGTCTTTTTTCAGCTTCAAGTGAATTCGCCAAGAAATAATTAAACTACACTGCTACAACACAGTACATCGGCAGTAATTTTCGACAACAAATGAATTTTTTTTCCGTAGATCTTACAAAAAGTTCAGTGATTTCCGCTGGATCCACCGTCCGAGCATTTTCGCTATCCTTCCGAAGGATTGTGACTAACAGTGTAGTCAAATAAACCAGGCAGCGCGTTAGTAAAGGAGCTCGAGAGTGATTCAATGAAAAGGTGTACGTTTGTTGTACTAGCTGCGACTTAGACAAGAAAAAAAGGACTGCACCGTGGTACTTATAATATTATTCGTTTTGGATATTCATTCTTTGCCGGACCGGAACAACACGTCCTGGTTAGTTCGATGGAAACCCGCTCGACTATATCTGTTTCAGCGAGGTAACCCGGCTGAGCTACAAAGAAGTACTTGAAAAGAACTAAGAGTAGCAGATACGATTAGAATACTTAAAGAAGATTGTAGCTTTCAGGAACCCGTAATAGATTCACAACGATGATGCCTGAAATGCTGCAGGGGTAAAGAATTTAGCAAAAGCATGAGAATTTGCCGATTTCAGTAGAAAAAAAATCCTCTACGCATGGAAAACGCCTAGTTAATGCTACCGTCCATAGATTTTCTCTGTTAGCGGGAGCCCATAACTATCCTATTATCACAGTGACGTTATTTATTAAAGTGAAAGATTAGGTACTGTTTTTGGTAACAGTTGAGCATGGTAAGGCAGGAAAAAACCTAACCAGTACGATATTTCCTTCATGGCATAAAAGCCGTGCTTTTCAGTCGGTTCGGATCAATGGAATAATATCCAGAGGGATATATAGCAATTTGTACGGCACTGGGGGGGAAACATTAAGTGTTCAAATAATTTTTTCGTCGTACCACCCATTCCAAGCAATACGTGGCATTCAAGCGTATTATAGCGAAACCATCGTGGATAGGGCAGTGTCGACATCCAATAGCCATGTTACGTTTTAGGAAAACCAAAAAGGAAAGTAGCAGAGGCGTTTAACGTTTGCTGTATAAAAGTTGTTTCGACTTTTGGCCCTATATTGTGTGGCCTGTTACTGTCCCATTCACAATGCAGCCTGGGTTTGTTTAGCCTATAAATGCTACTTTTTAAGTCGCTTCATTAGCCATTAATAGACATATTCGAAGAAAGGACAATCAGGTCGTTGTCAAACGCACAACGTATTTCCAAATAAATGATTGTCGCAGAAGAAGCACTTGTAACAGCACTATATAAACCCGGGGATGGTATTATTAAGATAACGCATTAAGGTATTTTGTCACATATTCATCTTGCGAGCATTTCGCGAAAAATCTTCACTCGTTTATTATTTCAATGCGTCAAAATTGAATAGAGGCACAGATACAAAGGGTATTAAAAAAGAGCCTAATTACCTTATAGTAACACCCTAAAACAGACATCAAACTATAGCAGTAAGTTTACAATGATTAGCACTAACGAATACAATAAATTTGCTTGCTTTTTTTCTTAAAACTTGGTAGGCCTTAGGTTTAATTATCGAGGACATTCAACACGCATTAATTTTGGTCATTGAATAATGGATTTACAAGGCTCACCTCGGCTAACCCTGATCTACCATACCGGATCCGCCTTTCTACTAAGTTGCCTCCTTTTGCCAGGCGTTCTCGGATCCCTACTAGTCGCGGATCCTGACCGTGGTCTGCCATTACTTCTGTTAGCTCTTACTGCCGTCCAAGGTGTAACTCTTTGGTGGTTCAATAACAACGTCGCGTCCAATTTTAATCCCAAACAAGTTTCGGTGAGTTTCCATATTTAGTATTGAAATTTTATCTGATTCATCATATTCATTTATGAATACAATCGAATCAATGTCATTTCACATTAGTTCTAGCCAATACGAATATCATCGTTACTATGCTTTCTGTTATGTATTTGAACGTTTCTTGGCCAGACGGAAACCTATAGCCGCTGTGCAACATTGTTCCTTTTGTCAATATTTGCGTTGCACGCCGCTTTGGTGCTTTTCGGCGCTCCTCTACTTGAAGACCTCCTTGAAACGTTCTACTTGGCTTGTGTCGTAGCGTTGCTTGCGTCACTGCCCATTGCTGTGTGTACCGAGTGTACTGCGTTTGAAATCGACAGGCTTTTCTTCCGAAGACGGTACGTGAGCATGTGGATGGACTTTCAGTAACAGGCATGGCAAGAGGTGTAATATCAACCATTGAGAAATCTGTTTTCCATGTTTCATACATTCTTAATCGAGACAAGCATTGTGCCTATTATTCATGCCTGCATTTGTCGAATAAAAATTCCGTCTATGAGACTCAGATATCACATTCTTGCAGACTATATCAAATATTTGTATCGTCGTTTTTTCTTTCTTTGACTTGCCATGTTTCGTCGGCGTTGTGAACATTCAGACCAGACAACGTATGTGAACGTTCACTCCTTTACGTAGTATCCTGTACCTTAATGGGATGTTGGTTAGGCGCGCTGCCAATTCCATTAGACTGGGAGGCGCAATGGCAACGCTGGCCTCTGACCTGTGTCATGGCATCTATCGGCGGAGCTGTTGCGGGCCACATTGCACACGCCGTCAAAACTGTACTCGAGGGGAGGCCCGAACCCAAAGGCAAAAGTATCAGGGCCTAGAAACGACGTCGTTATTTAGTATTAATGGGCAATCCGAAGCTACTTTCTTGTAATCCATCGTATATCTGGACCTTATACAAATAAGCAGTTGAACTCAAGCGAAAGACTGTATTGCAAGTCTTAGGATTGACAATAATTCTCGTCTTGTATTTCATAAAACGTCTTTTTTCATCTTCGCGTGATTTTTATCGATCTATATAGCCACATCTTTAATAGTAAGCTTTAATAATTACGAAACGTTGTATTCCTAGAGATATTAAATTTCGGCACTATAAGGTATTAAGCACTATATATAGATTAGTGCTATTTGAATGGACTCTCCATTATTGTTCACAAAATCACACTCTAAGAAAGCAACAATCAGTCTCAAATAGTGGTTCTGTTCAAACAATACTGTTGCTGTTCTGGTAGATAGCTCAGAAAAAGCTTGGATTGATCTGTCTTTGCATTATTTCTGTGAATTATTTCTAGCTACTCACAACAATAAAGATGTATTTTTTAAAATAAGAGCAAGCGCTTTCCTATAAATATACGCATTTTCAAGGCATTACATTGAATAAATGCGAGTAGAAAATTACCACTTAAAAAAATCTAACCGACCCTTTGTCATAGAGAATGATAGCTTAGTCCTCTTTAGCTCTGAAATCTCATTCATATTGACCAACAAAGCGGCCCGTAAAGGTATTTCATTATAGTACGTGATCTAAACATTTTTAAGTAGGCCCTTAGGAACATACATATTTTTACTTCGTGCCGCGAGGTTACAGCAAGAAGCAAAAATTATGCCCTTTTAGGCTGCTAGTTCGAATACGACAACCTAGGCCGCAATATTAACTTTGATAAAGCGTAGAGTATCCTTATTAAATTTCATTCGTATATTTACAGCATTTCTAATGCTCTTGGAGGGTGACACGAGTAATATAAGCATTTTTAATGCATACAAAGTACAAAGAATACACAGGTAAGTGTAAACTGCTCGGTTCACGGAACGGATGTGATTCATATTCCCAAAAAAAAACCCTGACTAGTGAAACAGTTTGCTAGTGATAGCCCCAAGATAGCCCCAAAGAATACTCTCTTTCAATGGTCTACTTCATTTTCCAGAAATATTGATTTCTACTAGTACATTTACTAAATTTCCTAAGAGATAAATGTAACATAACATGCACATGATATACGTAAGCATGCAAAAAGAAGCGAATGATTTAGGAACACACCACTTATTGCCAAGGCATTATTTGCGGCCGAATTTACTGCGGCAGACTCAATCTGCTCAGTCCTGAGCACTGCATCGGCTTTACGCAACATAGTTAGGTAGCGTTTCTCCTCATCGTTCACGATAGCTTTAACTTCTGAAATCTGCAAGTTTAGACTACTGTCATCATGGTAATGGTTTCTGTTCGGCAAGTAGAACACGTTTAATTGTCATCTGCTGCGTTTTGGCAATTGGGCTCACTCTTCAATGAAGGATTTTAAGATTCATCGGAACATTCTAAATCAAAATTATTGTGAATTTACATGAGAAATAAAAAATAGCAGTAACTATTGTATGGTATAACTTACTCCTGTTATGTCAAGTATATCTCCCGCAATTTCTGAAAGTTCCGCCAATTGGCCCGGCTTTAAACCAAGTTGTGACTGGGCAGCGTGAATTGAGCGACGTAAAACCCGCCTGAGTTTGTTCCTAAATCAATAGATATCGGGATAGATCACAATTAGTAATCGATAGATCTGTCAGATCCATAGAAAAAAATAGCTCGAAACTTTTTGTTAAAAATGTCTCTTCACGTATAAAGACATGGGTCGGGTATATTATTTAGTGAAATGGAAGTCATTGATTGATACATTTTTATTTTTTCAAAGCAGGCGGCATTCAAAACAATTGATAAGCATGACTAAACTTTAAATTAATAAATTATTTTCTCGAATTTGAATGGTGGAATCCAAGCGCACAATATCGACTAAGAGATTAGTATAAATGCAGAAATTTATTTGAAGATGTGTTTGCTTATGGTCGCTTAATTAAGACAACGGTGTCCAATGACCTAAAGTTACCCAGCGTTTCTATGGTCCGGCAATATACCCTGCGACATGGCTTTTGTAACCATTCGACAGTGGTCTGCTATTAGTCGAAATGCGTTGTCCCTAACATTACCGAAAACACCAGAGTACGATAAACCACTGTCCTGCAACAACAACAACGACAACACAAACACACATAATACATCAAACATCGAATTAGTGTAAAAATCTCTGGGAAGCACCATATGTAGCAGTTTTGACAACTGCGTCACCGCGGTTTATCTTGTTACCTTTTCGAGTTGTCTAATAATTGGTGCAAAAAGATCGGTGTCATAATTAGATTTTTTTCCTTGTAGAATTGTACAAAGACGCTCCAGTCCCATTCCGGTATCCACAAACGGCGTTTCCAATGTGCGTAGTGATCCATCTGATAGCCTAGGGAGATACAAAGCATTTTAACATTACTATCTGCTTTCAAAAATCTTAAAAATTAACTATTACACTTTCACAACAGAATTAAATGGCTATAAAATAAACTGTTTAAATAAACAAACTCCTTGAGTATATATTTTAGCTGATGGTTTTAACAGATGAAAGCAACGGATTTTTTAAAGAGTTTATTCGCTTATTTGGGTCCGATGGAATTCTTTTCCCAAAACATTGGCCAAACTTAATCACGAATGTTTCAGCCCTGACACCGATTACGTAAGCATAAAAGGTCCAATACTCAATGGAGATGCATTAACAGATTCGTTGATTTTATAGTTAACATTAACGTTACTACCGAAGAAATAATAGCTAATAATTCGTGACTGAATTGCATGAATTTTTTTGAGTAAATTAGCGCTTTTTATTTATACAAACAAAAGCAGAGAACATCTAGATATCAGTATTGAATTCAATAGATCTGAATTAAAAAAATCAGCAATGAAAAAATTTCGCCATTTTTCAGAAGCAATATTAAGAGCAACTTGCCAACCTGTTGTATTGGACAAACACAATATTCCAAATTTCTCGCAGCTTGCCTTCGGACACAACGTGTATTTCTGTGCATGTTCCACATGGTCCTGTTTGTCCCATCTCCCAAAAATTGTCCTCCATCCCACGAGGCATAATATTCTTAGAAGGTATCCTGAAAAAATGGTAATAGTTTATTAAGGAAATTATCCTAATGTTGTAATTGTCACCGAAACGAAGAAAGGCATACTCACCCCAAGCTCAACCAAATATTCTTCGTTTCCGTATCCTCAGCAATGGAGAATCCACCGTCGCCGGAAAAATATGTTATTACAAGTTGATTCTTCTTTATTCCATAGTGAGAAGTTAGTAGCTCAAAAGCAAATGAGCACGCTTCATTCTTAAAAAAAATAAAATAGTATTAAAAAAAAGTCATACATTTACTTAATAAATAAGCTTTTTGAACTCATTAACGCTACTGCTATATCCCGTAGCTGCCGTTAACATGAAACTTGCGAATAATTTGCATCGACTTAAGCTCCTGTTAGGGTTCCTAATAAGCCCACCTTAAAATAATCGCCAAACGACCAATTTCCAAGCATCTGAAAGAAAGTGTGATGATGCCCGTCTCTGCCTACTTCTCCGAGGTCGTTATGCTTTCCTCCTACGCGTACGCAGTCCTGCAAAGAAGCCGCTCGACTGCACCACGGCGCCTCGGATCCCGAAAGAATTCTTATAAACTGCGAAAACATACAAATAACATTTAAATAAATAAGCATCTACAAACATCCTGTTAAAACATACAAATGTTAAGGTTTTCCGTGTGACCCTGTCAAATGATTCTCCCAAGTTCTATAAAACACAACAGTATGAGTATGTGTGTGTACTTTATCTTAGGTTAGTAACTTCGATGCCATTCAGATATTTTTTTTACGATAATAACGATATACGCTTTCTTCGTTTACGATTATAAATAAAAAGAACCCTTTAACTTCAAAGACTGACTATTAGTTAATTGTGATGCGCACCTGGTTCATGCCGGCATTTGTAAATAGAACACCAGTTTCCGGAGGGGCCAACAGAGCGCTTGATGGGACAAGGACATGTTTTTGTTCCCGAAAATAGTCAAAGAACCGCGACGTTACCTGACGATGACCAAGGTTGCGGCGGAACTGATGCATAACTCGGCTACATCTCAGAAGATTCGACATTTCGAAGTCCTCTAGTAACAAACAAAAACCTATAAGAATACAACCGAAAAAAGCAATTGTTAAAGTAAAATACTCAAGTTAAACAAGATTCCATAACAGATTTTCTATAAGGAAAACACTTTAAAATTGTTTTAAAAGCATATAAGAATATGAAAGAAGTCATGGACACAATAGCGCAGTAATGATCTAAAACAAATAGACAAAAAATTAAGTTAAATATAAAATGTCGTAAGTTTGGTGTAGGAATTGCTGTATATTCCTTTGCCGATATTCTTGCCAAAAACATGACACCGTTCTTTAGTAACTATATATACTGTGCTATATTAGATATATTTTGATTGGACAGCATTTTAAATTGATTTCAACAAAAATAATCACCATGACATGGGTCTTAAATGGCAAGTATTTTGATTTTACCTTAGTTGTCAGTGATGAACCCTCCAAAGACTCAGGTTGTGAACAAGCTACTTACCTTTGTGACAGTAATGTTTTTTGTTTCAAGGGGTATTATGAACGAAATAGAACCACTGCAAGGACCCAATTTTACTTCACCAGATAAATTGAACCCTTTATTTGTCTTTTAATTAAGACAGATCGCATTCTTTAAACTCCGGTATTCCGAAACATTACGAGTTTCTATCGCGCACACTGGAAGGCGCGTGTCGCATGTCAACAATAACATATCATGAACTGAATTGGGAGACTGAGATAACCCAAACAAGAGGGAAGGGCTTTGAATAACGCATAGCAGACGACCAGACTGGCCGAGAGTCGGTTGGTTTAGCGAAATACTTGAGAATTCTTAATGTTGACGGCTTTTTGACAGCATTTTCTAGTTTTCGTTGATTTTTGAATCGTTAATTTTGAATATCCTTATACTTATATATATAACTTTCTCATAACGAAGTATCCCTAGATATTTGGTCGATGCGTGTGCGCAATCAGTATATTTTGTTAGCAGTATCGGACACCTTTACGCGGAATGAGTTTCACTCATCGATTGGCAGTAGCACAAATTCGAAGAAGATAGCTTGTCAGCAACGACGAACTAATTCATCAATCTACATCACTGGTATATGTAATACACTGCCAGCATAATAACAACATTTCTTGTGTGTACACAAGCAAACCGGTAATGAATGTATGTTGAGTATAAGATTATCGTCTGGCTTAAATCTGAGCATGTTGTGTAAAAGCTCAACTCTATTTGTGGATCATTTAAAGCACTTGATATTGTTATTATTACTTATATGGTTCCATATTGATTGAAGTGGCAAACTCTCAAAAAAGAATACTCGAAAGTTTTTAGTGTTTGTTACGGTGTCTCCTAAACATTTATTGTGGGGAGTTTATATGACAGGATCTGGACCTTTAAAGTTCGTAAATAAGGAACATTTTTTCTCAAATAATACGGAAAATTTGCAAGTGTTGTCAACGAAAGAAAATGTCAGAAAGTTCTCTGCCAACGTTCGCGGTAAAGTGGTCCGGAAAGGAGTTTCCCATCGAAGGCCTATCTGATAGCACCACACTTGCTGATCTCAAGCAGCTTCTCATGGAAAAGACTGGTGTTCGAGTGGAGAGACAGAAGATCATGGGTCTCAAATGTAAAGGTAGGTTTAAATTTATCGCGATACCACATATTTGCACTACGACATCAAGCAAAATGACGGCAAGGGGCACAGATTCTAAGAATAGCCTTACCTATGTTGTTCTTCAAACTAAAAACCTACTTAAAATGGGAAAGACGTTACAGAAATGTCTAAGAAATGGCTTCAGACTCTTTTTAAAAATGGTCATCTAATTATTCTTTTTCTAACTATTCTCTTCGCATTAATACGCAGAGAAGATTAGTAGTCATAGCGTATCCCCTAGAATATATTTATATACGAATAAAAGAGAACTTTTCAGGAACTAGCTTGAGCGTCAAAAGGGTAGTGTGTTCGAGAAGTATTGAAGAGAAATTTGAAATTTGAGAAAATCTGATGTTTTTAACTGTGTTTGTGTATGATCGAACATTTTAGCCGATACACCATACACAAGCCTAAACAGTTTAGATTTATAGAACAGTATACGTTTTGTCTTTCTCGGAAAAACAAACCCTTTTAGGTAGTTGCTTCCATATATTTTTCCGCTGCAAACGCTGTGGGTAGTCTATTACTTTTACTTCTTACTATAACTATTATAGAAAAAAAAAACAAAATTAATTTAAGAAATATGACACGAACGATTTTACCCAGTCAAATAATCGCACCTCTTTAAGAAATTGTTATGCTTTAGAACTTGTCCCAAATACTTACGTAAGGATTGCCCTATTACCTATAATGAATAAACAAAAACCGGTTGTCAATATTTATTCATACAAATTGTGTATATTTGTATATAGGGTTTTCAGTTCAGGTCAGGTCCAGAAGTACAGCTTCTGAAGTTTCTCTTGTCATACGACAGAGGTACATATATACTTGTTATTGTTCATTAGCATTTTATTTATATATTAAGAGTACTTTCTCTGTATAGTGTATGCAAATAATTTTATGCAAACTATTTTACTGTCACTCCTGTTTTCCATATCTTCTCATAAGCATACTTCAAAGCGCATTTAGGTTATATCTGTGCATGATGTGAGTTTAGCAACAGCAATAACAGCATGTGCATTCCATTAAGCCATCGTGACTCATGCATCGCCAATATACAATGAGCTCAAAAATGAAAATATCCAATTAGAAATTCGAATAAAATCTATGCAGAAATATAAAACAAAGAAATTTCGTCATGTCTCACCGCAATAACAAAAATATTATCGTATCATATCTTTGGACTTGAACGTGAAATAAGCCAGGCTACATCGTTGCTTACTTTCAACAGTGGTATATACTTTGAATATACTTTTTAGTCATATATACAATAGCATACAAAGCTCTAACAAGAAACAACGTATATATATATATATATATATATATATAAATGCGTTTTGTATGTGCTTGTTGTTCTACGCCTCCTTAATCTCCGTTCTAATTCTTTTGCGTCACTTACAATTAGTCATGCAACCGGTTGTTGGTGGCCTATTATGCTAACATCGGTGACCTTTTATCTACAACTGTGTTTGTTGACGCATTTTACAGTTATTATAAACGCTTGATATTCAGCGAGTTTTGGCTAGCGATATGAGCGAGTTCTACCATTAACCACGGCCTTGGTTAGGCATTGTTTAATGGGCTTTATTGCCCATTAAACCCCCAAGCGGGGGAGAATGGATTTATTAGAGCTTGGTCTGGTAGTTGTGGCATCTCTTTGATATTGATAGGTGAGTTTACGGTAATGAGGTGAGCATAATGTTCAGAGATCGGTCTCACGAGCGTTGTTAAGCCCGCTAAGGCTTGGACACATAATGAGGGTTTCGCGCGACCCGATCATCTGTCGCGTCGCGAAGACCTAAAACATTAAGAACGTGGTAATATAGTGAGGGTGATTGGAGACGCTGTCTATAGACCACCCATTAGTATGAACAGGAAACGCCATATAACATTCCTGTAGAACGCGATTATCTCTAACCTGCATTGACCTATCTGCACCTAGAATTTAACAGCGCATATTAAGAGTAAACCTACAATGGGGCCTTATGCCGAGAAAACGATAGCAGATTCATTGGAGGATACAGCCTCTAACAAGTCAGTAAAATAATAAAGAGATGTATGGCGTTTTTCAACAAAAATGTTAGTAAAAATATCCTAATGTATTTATTAATCTGAACACAGAGCCTTCAAAATTTGTGGAAGAACTGCTATCTTGCCACAGATCGATTTTGTGACAATAATAATCCGTCCGTAATTTTTCGAATAGACCACTAGACCGTAGCGAACCGCTACGGAGCTCTTGCAGTTTGTACTCGGAAGCTATCATTCTTACCTCGGCATTTTTATCGAGCGCCCCTCCAATACAGCACGTGGCTAGTGTGCATGCATTGCATTTAAATGCACATCGGAGGGCCTTAGTAGGTTCTTCGTCTTCTTCGTAGAACTCTGGTTGTATTGTGACGGAGTCAATGCCTGTTACAAAATTGGATATAAATGAAAAGTGATATGCTATTCATCTATTTGTGATGACAAATGCAAATGGACGCGATATGACAGTTTAACGTTCAAAAACAAATAGCCTCCAATGAAAAATAATAATCCGAATAAGGATTCACGTGTGTAAGTGTACGTATTTTGTTAATTTGACCCAATTTCTTGTTTGATAGTTCGCGTTTTATCCTCTAACTCATCCGTTCAACTGAATTCAATTGTGTGAGCTTGTGTTTTTAATAACGCATTAAAGAAATAGATTGTCGGACTGTTATTACATCACATCATGTATCACTGACCTCACGCATCGCTTATAGAGGCACTCGTAGTTACGAGTGTCAAGAGGGCATCTTTGTCATTTTGACATAAAATATTTCCTTTTGTTTGGAAAATTGGACAAAATTGTTATGCTCTGATCACTTTTTTCTAGCAGATAATGAAACATAAGCAGTTTCTGATTTTAGATGTAGAAGAAATTGCTCACTATATATTGATCTGTTGTTTACCGTTTTTGACGAAGAACTCCTCGATGTCAGCTGCAAGTCTTTCGTATTCATATTGTTCGCATGCCCGAAGAGAGATATGGATTGTTGCAATACGCTGGTCATTGTTCAATGTCCAAATGTGCAGATCGTGTAGATTCATTAGTTGTGGGAATTTACGGAGCATCCGCCGCTAAGTAACATGAAACATGTAATGAAAAAAGAAACAACTTTGCTGCTCATAAGGGTATCATTATTATTATTATGAGAACCAAGTGACTCTCGTTATCAATTAAGATCATGACACACGTGTACAACATTCGCACACCTCCTCCCGTAACAATACACTCACCAGACGCTTCTTAATATTAGTTTGCTACTTTTCCCTAATGTTAATTCTGACATTCCTCAGAGTACTCCGAACTCGGGAACTCGAGTTCAGATTTCAAGCCGGTGACAGATGCTCTGTCAGCATATACATTTACAGTACCAGTCACTCACAAGACTGTCTGCCCCTTTTCACCTATAAACACCAAGGGTTCTTAATGTGCTCATTGAGTTCTCGCATGTCGTCTACACGGAGCATACACATCTTAGGTTATGTAAATGTATTCGATTCTTTCTTTGAATCTGAGTCGAAACTGATTCACCTTTTGGCCTGAATCTTACTATCAACAAGTAAACTATTGTACTACCTTAGTTACCCTATTGTATTACACTTTGCTCTTCTTCTTCTGTAAACTCATTGGGCCAATTTAAGGACACTATGTAAGATTCGTTCGGATTGCAAATTCGTTACCTTGATTTGATTGTTTAGTTACCTTCATTCAGCTATTGCACTACTGCAGTTTAGAGCTGCAGCAGAAATCCCACATTCCTGTGCCAATTATCCCGTACTCTCATTGCAGCCAAGCTGTTAACGTACAAACACCGACCCGTTTTTGGCCAAAAAAGTATTTTTTCCATTTACATTGGGGTCAATGAAGATGTTTTTTGTACTTTTTAGCAAACATACCAGTCATCCCAGACATAGTTTCGCGGTATTGTGTTCTTGTCCAGCTACACCTACGCACCCACACAATTCATAACTAGTTTAATTCAGCTTACCTGTAATCCTTCAAGGTCGACGTTGTCTGGTACAGTTTGTAGTAGAATTAGGCCAGAGTCCCTTACATACGGATAGAAGGTGAACAGGATGATTGAAACAGACACGAGAGCAAGACTAGCGTCGATATAGTGAACAACAGAGTGTTCCTGTAATATAAAAGTGTGTCTTTTCAACATGTCACAAGCGCACACTTACTACAGTAAACTTAGGAATAACTAAAAGGAACACTGTTTATAACGGTCCACTATTGAACCGTACAGCCCCGTTTTACCACACTTCTTAGCAATACCTCTTCTAGATATCTGTAGACTTCAATAACTTTACATTGATTTTGTCAAGTTCATGTGAGAGCCTCGTAAATCTACCTGAGCAAAATGTAGTACACAGGCGCATATAATCACAGTTATGCACGATCCCGAAGTACGCAGTCCTTCTGCAAACATTGACCCCTGTGTTCGCTCGGGCTCTTTTCTAATTTGTTCATTATCGTCGCCCTCACTTAGCTGACGGCGCCTTTCACTCCGGCTATGACTACCGCATTGTCTGTCCAAGCCTCCTTGGGTGCTACCGGCCTCGACGAAGTTCACCTAATTTTTACAGGAGGATACAAACAGGTCATAGAAGAGAATTCGAAATTCGGGTCGAATTTATTGAACACTGTTTATTATGTCTGCATTAAAAACTCTGCAAATAGGTATAACCACTATATACCTCCGAAAAGCGCAATCCTGGTACTCACAAGTAATTATCGCGCTTATTTTTGTATGATTTTCTATGAAATTTTCCATCCTAAATTTTGAATGTAGTTAAAAATAGGGTTTATATATGATACAATTACAACGGTCATAGTATTTAGGACTTTGTTCCTATAATAAAAAATAGGGTTCATTTCGTGGTTCATTTCGTGGACCATTTTCTATTTCATATTTTTAGATAGAAACACACAAATTATTATAAGAAATTTGACAAAAATGTTGATTAGTAACATGACAGTTCTTACGTGTAGCGCTTTGGAAAATATGTAGGGATAGCCTGCAGCGTTGGGAAATTTAGAGAAAATTTACAGTTGGAGCAAAAAAGCCTAGAATTACTTTCTAGTTGATTTTCGCCTTATATAGGGATAATTCAGAGCAACTATAACAGTCCGCGAACCGTCATCAAGGTTCATTTATATAAAAAGATATGAAGTATACATCTTTTGGGCCCTCTTCCTTATTTCGCTGTGTAAACAGTTGTTTGATTTGATATCCGATTAACCAAACATAAATTTACGTGGCATTGATAAGAAGTTAGAATAGACACGTAGTTTCATGGCTGCTCCGCATGGAATTCATATTTATTACGGATTTTACGTTTTTCTATGCCTTAGCATGGGCAAACTACAAAAACAATACGTCGGTTTTTGAGCTCATCATGGGCAATGCCATTCGGGTTGTACTGTGAGATGGGTTGCAGCCCATCTCACAGCTCATGCTTTTTACATTTTTCCTGTGGGCTATATAACAAACGGTCTGCCAAGCTGGTGAATAGACATGTTCTCCTTTTGGAGGGCCAGTTATTAGAAAACTTGAGATGTTATGTATATCTAACCTGAACTTTATTTCCTCGAACGGTGATAGATGTACCAGGGTGCCGGGTATTATCAGGATCCCAGATGACGAGGTAGCAAAATACATCAAGTGTGAGTCCAAAGAGACCAAATACCATAATCAACAAAGGATAGTGGGGCGCCGTTTCCTCATGGCCTGTTAAGTTAACGACGAAAATTTTGGTGGGCTTAATTTTTTAGTTCTGCTTTAAATTCTCTCCCTTTTTTTAATTCTATATCTAGAAATAGAAGCAGCATTTGGTTAACGAGTTCATATCAGCTGGTCTATAGGCTTGCGTATCAGATGTGCAACAGCTCAATCATGTCAGCATTAATATAATCATACGATTGCGATCATTGCGCGTATTCATAATCATCATTATTGCTAGTGACATTTAATGACAACTGCATAATATGCTTACATAACAGTAAAGCGATTTAAAATTACGCACCGGCGTGTACCAGTGTTTGTATGGCTGTCGTCGTAATGGCGAAACATAGTGCGAAAAGGAATAGAACAGCAACCAGAGTTCCTACGACTTCCGTTCTGGCCCAGCCGAATGTGTTTCGCAACGATGTTCCACGAGATGCAATTCGTTGTGAAATTACGACGAGAACGAGTGACATCCAATTAAACAGGGTCTGATACGCGTTCATTAATAGAGTCAATGAATGCGAAAGGTAACAAGCGCACATCTGAGCTAGGAAGAAGATTAGCACAACGACTGCGAGCGCGCTAGCGCGTCTTGGCTTTGCCGTCATCATAGCAGTAACTGGTATTTGCCGTTTATTCACTATATGCGAATCGAAAATGATGGTGAAGTTTACTGCGAGGTCTCGAGCAGACGTCTTATTTCTGATCTATGCGGAGAGTATATTAGGCCCGGGTCCTTGTTTGTGATTGTGGCTTAGACGATTTGTTCAGATATAAAGAAACACTAAAAGGAAAGCGCTGCAATCAGCCCAGTCAAGGAGCAAAAAAAAAAAAAACACAATAGTCCAGCAGAAAACTCGTGAATAAGCTGTCGTCATTTAGTTTTTACCCATCCTTACAATTTCACACATATATTCACGAAAGCACAGATACATACATACACACACACACACACACACACACACAAACACAAATTTATACGCTCGCGACGGCACGTGGAGATGTAGCTGAACACGTTGGGTTGAACTAATTGTTTCCAGGACGCTTTATACAGGTCACACTACCTGCCGCTAACACACCACGGCCTGAAAGATTCGTTCATGAAGCTCTACCACCACTTGACAGGTTCAGCTTGCGGCGACAGTGGGCAACTGCAGGGACCAGCGCCCACGGAGAAAGAACCTCGACGAGACACTACTGATATTTCACCGACGGTTTTACGATTTAGCTTCTTCCTCACTAGTCCCCACCAGTGGAGATGCTCGCTAGTGCCGTGTGAACTAACTAGCCCTTCCGTAGCGACCTCTTCAACCGAGCATGTTCGAGCACCTTGCTTAACGCAGTAATCGGTGAGAGATTACTGGCACTTTCAAAGAATATCGTTTACGTAAAGGAAAACTGTCTAAAGGATACAGTGCAACACACAACAAAACGAAGGATAAAGATCATTGTGTTAGAAAAAGTCTATCTTGCTAAATTATTGTGAAATTCAGCCATTTCAAGAATGCTTAATGAACACGCCAAGTGAAGTGAGCCAATGGCAAAATTCATCATTGCATGATCGATTTTGCATCTTGAATTTGGACGGCTGAAAGTATCTACCGATCATCTATCTAATCAAGAAGGCAATAAGATTCGCTTACTTTTAACTTAACCCTTGTATCTGAGGGTTAGATGTACGCTGTTTGGCGCCAAAATGACGTCATCGGTTGGGGACTAATATCGTAATGAAACGTTGCATGATGAAGTACAATTACTGTGTGAACGTATACGTGTCGTGTGTACGTCAATCACAGCCTAAAACCCCAGATATTCTGCATTGGCGGTTCACTATTATCTGTGACCGTACCCGATGCCTTGCAACACAGAATTACGTAGTTCTAGATACAGAAATAGAGTAGGAAACCGTAACTAAATTATTTCTAATATAAGAAATTATCTCGCTAGTGTTTCCTAAATGCTGGAATACATAAAATAGAATTTAAATATAAATTCGAATGCTGTTTCTACGCCTGGAATCGCAGTCTTGCGTTACCTACTTTTGAGCGAAATCTTCGCAGCTCGTTTGCCATCGTTTATCCATTGAACGGGTTATGGTTGCTATAGAGCATTGCCGTATGTAACAGCATCACCGTGCTGGCTGTTACCAGTGATTGGTAACGATGCGATAGACCACCCGTAAACAGTACTCTTGCCGCTGCTGCTTCAAGACAACAGTAGCATCTAAGCGAAAACGAGCCCGTATTGTAGTGGTCGAGTGAGGACTTTGTTGTCAAGATGAAAGATCGCTGTTTGTCCGTCCGGTGTCTATCGGTTCCGTTGGCTTTCATCATCTTCCTGTTCATATTGAGCCCCCAATAGTTGCCGACGCTGTCGTCCAAGTCGCTCGTAAGCGACAACGCCGACGTACATTTCGCTGTCGATCTTGAGCTGTTTAGTTCGTCTGCCGACGTATCTGAGCGGCGCCATAATAGATGTCTCTCTGTCCGTTCCTACTTTTCTAGCTAGGCCCATTTGGCTGTATCTCGCTGCGCCATGGGACGGGGCTCTAATCTACAGTAACACGGCATTGCTTACTCAATGGCTGATTGGTCGTATACCATGTAGCCAATTGTAGTCGTATCGGCTGCGATTCGCGCGCTGTAATATGAGAATATGGACGATAGCACGGAGAAAAATGGCACGAACTAAAAGCACTCCAATCAACTAACTGCAACTATCATAAGAAAACAAAATACACTCTTAGTTGGTGCTTTTAGATGGTTGATGAGGCGGCAGTAATCACACAATGCAACGAAATATAAGCTCGTCTTCATAAAGATAACAATATTTAATCAACTATTGTCATACATTATCTTATGGTTAAAAAGAATCATGTTATTAAGTTACATCAAATGCATCAACTATGTCGAGAAGTACATATGTTAATACTTAAGTAACACGCCCTTCATCAACGCTGATTCTCGGTTCTGGGTCCACCTTAATTAAATGTCCATGATCTATATCGATATATATATATACGAATAGCCCTTGAGATAAAAGCTACACTAATTAATCTAAGCTACGGTCGTTTCATTTCGTAGTAGAGAAATGAAATGATAATGAAACTTAAGTGAGGTAATAATGGGCTATAGAACTTATACAATCTTAATCACGATCTTTACACGAGGCTTTACAAGACGCTCGTTACTATACCCTTAATTTGCACGTAAAACAACTACATACAAAGTGCAATGTTAATAGTATAGAGCAAGCATATAAATGAAAGTGTTCACATTTACATATTCATAGAATGACCGACTATTTTCTTACTAACGAACACCGAAACATATATTAGAGCACTATAAAAAAATAGTTAAAAGCATAAGAACATCAACTAAATACTTACAAAAGTCGTGATGTAATGAAACGTAAGCTCTTCGCGACGTGGTATATTATCCTAAAAATACGTCTATCTAGAATTATGTACGTGATTTTCTCAGCTTATTTAACTTAGACTCATTAAACTATGCGTGGTTACACAAACTAAACGTGCTGTTTCCTTTTGTGGTTCTAATGAACAGATCGTAGAAGTTCAAAATTGATCATAACGAAGCACAAGCGGCGCCAAAACGCCTTGCCAACAGAAGTATCAAGTGAGTCCATCGATTGCAGACGATATTCCTACCCACTGGGAGAGAAAGAAATATAATTTTACCTGCGTCCAAATGGAAAGTAGCATGCTCCTTGACTGGTATCAGCCATGTTTAGACTTAGAAAAAAAAGTGTACAAATGTCGCTGGCGGAGAATTCACCGACCCTTGGTTAGTAAGCTATTCTGCTATTCCAAGAATGATGAAGATAGCTAGAGCTGGAGAATGTAACTGTTCTTCCGACTTGGGTCCGTGCTATAGCGGCGTTGCATCTAATTACATTAGGGAAAACGGTACGGTTCATCTGAAATGATTTTCGAATATAACAGGCAGCAGTGACAGGAGAGCGTATAGTATGTAGTCGCTGCAGCATATAGTTGTAGTCTATGCGTGTGTTTACTGAATCCACAGAGGAGAATGTAGTAATTGGAATAAAAATCTATAGAAGAAATGAAGTATAGCGCTATCAGTTCGTAGTTGACTGAAAATATAAATAATCATTCAATGGACGTTGAACTATTAGATCGAATAAGTTGGAGTTCCCCTGACAGACGTAATGTCTGGGCGTTTCATAAGCGTCTGAAATAATAGCATCCTCATGTCCTAGCTTTGTCTGGACGTAATAATTCATAGAAAATACTTGGCTTACTTCATATATTAATAGAACATTCCGTTTTCAAGTCACACACTATGGATATAAAATTTGACCACCTCAATAAATGGACAAATTTCTAATTATGATTGCAAGGTACTCTACTTGTACTTAGAAGGTGTTTGAAATAACGCTGCTAGATCTAACTCATTGGCACGATATTACGCTGTATTACTATATTACTATAAAAAAATGTCTTTAGTTTTAAAACTGGTTCTACTGCCGTTACCTGTTGCTTTAGACAGCTCGCACCTAACACGTAGATGTGTCTATGCTTGGTTTCGAACCGGCCACCGTGGGTTCCGAGGCAAATACGTAACCGCTGTTCCATTACGGAGACAATTATGCAAGGTGTTTGCATTAAGTGTAGCGGTTTTGAGGATCATTGCAATTTTTATCCATTGAAAATGTTTATGATACATAAACTTTAGTAAGGATTCAGTAACTGAACATTTATTCACTGCGTTCAATTCTCTATATTATACTATATATTTTTATGGATTTGATTTGCGTCTCAGGTCGCCCAGCCGGTGATACGGACTGTCTAAAGGATATGGGCGTAAAGGAGAAACAGAAATTGATGATGATCGGAAGCCTTGAGGAGAGCATACGCGAAGCCGCGAAAGCACCGAATCCCGAAGAAATGCCGGAGGTAAACGTTTTTGAAAAAATCTGTTATTTCCTTTTTCTGTATCTCAAGTGATTTTCATTGAAATATATTTATCGATCTAACCTTCCTTAATAGAAGTTAATGTGGAATTTAATGTTCTCATTCGAGTTGCAATGATGCATTTTCTGTTACAGGTAGTAAATGACTTGAGCATGGAAGAGGACATTATTGCAGTGGCAGATCGACCTGAATTTCTAGACAAAATTCAGAAGCGGGTTGAAACCATTGAGATCAAGGAAATAAACGCACCTCGAGAAGGGAAGAAGCTACTGGTGCTAGATATTGACTATACCCTATTCGGTCGGTATACTATAACATGTATATTATTATATGATACGTTATTATCATTTCATTTTAGTTATCTATTCACAGACTGTGCACTTTAGTATTGCACTTTTACCGTTTTATAGTAAAACATGAATATATCGTCAAGTGAGTTTAAAAACGGTGCTTTTTCAAATAAATATGTTCAGTTTAAAATTCACTGTTATATAGAGTATCAGAGGAAACGGTGAATTGAGTTATAGCGGTAACATATTATGTTAATAATGTATATTTACTATGTTTGTTTTAAAATTCGCGTGACGGGAATTGTAGGATGGTTTCACACTGGATCCACAGCGCGTCAAAGAGAGCCTAGAAAAAAGATCCTTGTCGTTGATACGTGTGATGTAATATTCTTGGATAGGTTAGCGAGTGGTTGCTTTCACTGTCGTGTGAATTGTAACGTACATTTACATCTATTCCCAACGATCCTAAGGCTGTTTACTTTTTGCCTAAGTTGTTTCGCTTTGTCTATGTTTAATATTGTACCGTTTCCTGGTCTTCACCAGACCATAAATCGTCAGCGGAAAGCGCTGCTGAGTTGAAACGACCGTTTCTTCATGAATTTCTGGCTTCGGCGTACGAAGATTATGACATTGTCATATGGAGCGCTACCTCTATGAAATGGGTCGACGTTAAAATGAAGGAACTCGGCGTCACAGGTAAGATGTTCGTTCCAATGTAACAAACAGAACTATATATGCACGATCAAACAGAATGGTTTGATTGACATGTCAGTTCAAACTTCTGAAGTGAACTCCATATACTTTCAGGTCATGAAAAGTACAAGATTCTGTTCCATCTTGACTCATCTGCAATGATCTCTGTTTGGATTCCTGATAAGGGACTTATCGATGTAAGTTTAAGTATTTAACGATTTAAATGGTAATGTAGCTGCCGATGAACATTCAACTAACGCGACAGTGCGTGACAATTCTGAGGTGTAATTAAATTTACATTTGTTATCAATTTAGCTTTGCTACTCAGCACCTATAACACTTGTACCTCACCTGAATTCATCTGATTCGCTCTCAGGAAAGACGCTCCTTGTCCAATTGTGCAATACAGTACTGCGCAATTAGACAAGAGGCAAACTTAGTAAAGCCGTATTTAATCGCACACGTTTCATAAGCTTGAAAGACAGCACAAACGTGGATCTAACTCACTACCGAAAGACTAATAGTTTATAGTTGGTACGTAGTTGCTATTGTTACGTTGTTCTTTATACCGCTGTTGTTGCTGCTTCTGCCGTGTCTTTAAAGTGCAAACCGCTTGGAGTCATATGGGGCAAATATCCCCAGTATAATCGTCAGAACACAATCATGTTTGACGACGTCTCTCGCAATTTCATCATGAACCCGCAAAATGGACTCAAAATTAAGCCGTTCAGGGATGCCCACTTTACTCGAGACGAGGACAGGGAGTTGATCCAGCTTGCCAGGTATGTGTTTTTTTTACTAGTAGAAGATAAAAAAAAATTGCCATAATATGTTTTGACCGAGGATCGTATTTTCATTTGTGGTTTCATTGGTACATTCAAAATAAACTAACAGTCGAAGTTTACTAATATCTTACCAAACATTCAGAACCCGAAACGTCTCAGTGTTCGCTCGAGGCCTGTGAGTAACGAAACCGCCTAGGACTCATTACTATAGTTCCTAAATAAAGGATCATAAGATCTAAATGTGTACGCTTCATTTGGTTAGTAAAGACCTTCCGTTGGTAAGAAACCATATGTCGAATATCTGGCAATAAAATGTCTACTTACCTTGAACAGCTTTTTGCACTCCCAGTGTATCACTGCTCAGTTTAGGTAAAATTCTGGTTTTACTTCCAAACCTTTTCCGTCATACTATTTGATAAACTTGCCATATTCAAAATGCCTCTTAATTCAACAAACAAAGGTAGTTAAGATTAAGCCAGTTTTATTCGATCTACTGTTGTCAGGTTGGAAACACTATTCTGAGAAAGTATATTCTATAGTAGCTTGATACGGTACGTTGCAGTTAGTAAATATATCAAATAATGCAAAGGTTGTCAAACGAAAACATCCGTAGATTTTCTAACAAACTAGTCACTTTGCCGGTACGTTCTGAGAAAGTCGGTCTCAAGCTCAAAAAGAGAGACAAGGTTAAGGAAGATTTGTAGAAAATAATACATTTAAGTTAAACGCAACAGTTGAAACCTGCAGAAAAATTCACTTCGTAACTGCTTCAACAATGGCAGTCAAAACCTTCAGTATATGTATTAAAAAAAGAGAACGACAAACTCTAACGGAAGCGACCCTGTTAAAGCAACAACATATTTCAAATAAAATCTATACAATTTCATTAACGAGAGGTTCACTAAAATAAACATTATAAGGGTACGCTAATACTTCCGCAGAAAAACAGCTTTGTTGGGGGAAGACTTATTCTCCTATTTCAGAGGACAATCTACACATTGTTGTTATTTTAGTACTAAAATTGTGAGTAAGATTATTAATTTGTAAGTAACCAAAGTATGAAGTCGCTAATACTTATTAGATAAGTAACTAATAATTCATTTTTCATGAATATGTTCATGCGATAATATATGGTCTTCCAGATACCTGAAATGCATTGCTCGCCTAGATGATTTCACGAAGCTACGTCACAGAAAATGGGAACGCTACCTTGACAAGTACGACAAATAACGTATGGAAATAAATTTGAAAGATTTTTTTGCCCAAAACAGCAAATCAACACAAGTTTCATAATTCAAATACTATAAGGCTTAAAAAAGAACCCAAAACTTTGATATCGTTTTCTGGTGGTCTAACAAAGGTCAATAAGATGTATTATATATAAATATATTTTTATTCCAAACTGACGTAATAATAAATATGTTCATTAATTTCTCAACTCGTTTTAAGTTTATCAAGGGGTAGTTAAAATTATCAATATTTTACTGTCGCTAGCCAGTTGTTTTCGCTTCCGTGATCGTGCAGCGGTAATGTGTTCGATTATTAAAATTAAGGATAAGTAGGGTCGTCTAGATACTACACGAAGCACAGACCGGCTTTGTTTCATGTTGAAAGCTAACCGTTTGGAGCAATGCTTAATTAAATTTGTACCGAGCGTCAAACCAACATATTTTGTATATATTTATTCAGTTGTTGTCTATCCGTGTAGGAAATGGTGAAGGATTATGGTGAGCCAGAAAAGAACCCCTTTTTGTGATCTACCTTGTTCCGCTCCTTTTTGTTTGGATATTTTACCTTCATTTCAAAAAAAGCAGTGACCGAGTGCTGTTTTAGCAAGACATATTCAATCTACAACTATTCATGACATGCAGAAATCTCGTATGTAGACCCTTTTTCAAGAAATAATGGACAATTTCTCGATAAATTACTTTAATGAAGGGTTGCGCGACATTGATTTGTTTCACAGGCTAGCTCCCAGGCTAGGACGCGATTGTAAATAACTATCCATTATCTAAGAGTGCCGTCAACGCGTTAAGACAAACGCGATGGTGGTTATGAATATGTTTTCCTTTAAAGTCGGTAGTGATCCACTTAAAATAAAATTTTCTAAAAATGTCAAGAACGTGGCAAGGTCAACTTTGTATAGCTGCGAGATCATTAATTTTCTCCAGGCAAGTTGAACGTTGTAAGAGAATTTTCTTCAAGCTGAAACTGAATGCTAGCAATGTCTATCTACGAATTCACACGCCTAATTAAAAACTGCAAAGTCGCGTCCATAATGTAGCTGGATGATTTATTGCAAGAAATATACCTATTCTGTACAGTTCTATACAAATGAATTAATGGTAAGGCACGCAGTCATTTACAAACTGTGATAACTCCCTTGAACAAACATATATACACGCTATGTGTGAGATGATTATTTTGCGATGTTCGCTACGATGGAGACGACGAAACTTCAATTATGCACCGAAGTTCCGTTTGATCAACATTGCATTTGTTCCTTTAACTTGGAACACCTGCAATTGACTATATCTGTTTATAAACTCGTATGTGTGTTTAACTTTCTTTTTATTTGGTAATAATGAGATAGGATTTTGATACAACTTTGTGAGAAGAAATACTTCAATTACGAACTGTCGTAACTATAATATATATGAGTTCACATGCATCCAGGCCTTTTGCACCTTAACATATGAACGACAACCTACCGGTAAGCCTTCGGACATTGTAAGAACCCCAGTCATTTTACTTCTCGCGTTAACTGTGTAGAAAGCAACAATGCCAATGCATCTATGGCAACTGTCTGGCCCTGACAAGAGCCCTTATGGTCCTTCTGTAGCTGCTTGCAACTTTGTCTTTCAGTTGCTTACGAAACCCCCGGGCATTTTGAATGGTGCGGATGATCGTCCTGTAGCTTTCGACCGTGCATGGTTACGTGGTATTGCTGTTTGGGGCCGATACGCGTCGGTGTCGTATTCAGTATCTGAAGGTACTATGACTCGGTACGAGGTTTCACTTCCGGTTTCATGAGCTCGAAGTGGTATAATTGGTGATTTGATATTGTCTAGATCATGAAAAGGCATGAAGTCATTGTTCACTGGCGCCGGAGCTGGCATGATACCGTATGGTGCAAAATAGTGCGGACATGCCGCAATCGGAAACCCTGTATAGACGTCAATAAGTGAGCAGGGTTGAGGGGGGAACGCAAAAGGCACCTGCATGGGATGTGGTCCCGCCGCTCTGGGAAGACCCCCTGCTAAAGAACTATAAATTGGCGGCGGAATAAGGGGAGGCAACGGTAGCTTAGGTACTTTACTTGCAGGCGGGAGTTTACCTGGGGGCCGTGGCTTTCGCCAGTAGGGATAAAGACGATTCTCACGAGCCTCACCGGACATTCCATGCATAAATGGAGAATTAACAATATCCTCCTGAGTGAGAACCCGTTTTCGAATTTGTGTTTCTTGAGAGATGCTAGGCTGCTCCTGACTAGGAAGGAATGGTACCGTTATATCGCCATTTTCGCCTTTTGAAACGGCAGTCTTCTCTGCAACACGCTGTCGATTCCGTTCTTTGCGAGTCTTCCTCTTCAGTGCCCTTGAGCTCATATAGTTCGATGTTTGATGGCTAACGTCGCTCGTAGATGAGTATCTGCGGCCAATCATCACGGGCTGATGTGATAAAACGTTGTATCCCATTCCTGAGAACATATTAGCATACGATGAACTTAGATTCTGCGATACCGAGTCTCCAGGTCCGTGGTCCTCCTCTTCGTCGTCCTGTTCTTGAGCAAATAAAGCGGCAATCTCCTGTGTGAATCCTTTTCCAGGTGGCTGTGTCTTCTTGCGTAGCACAAATTTGGCAAAAACGTGTTTGCAAGCTTCCGCAACAGATGACTTGCACGTGGCTAGTAAGAGAGTAAAACACGCCAATGGAAGCACCAACAATTGTATCTGAAGTATGACAAGGTTAGGTTTGTCTTTTAGCTCGCAGCTGGTAGTTTCCATAGCATGGTTTAGCTCGTCGCTAGGTTGTTGGACGACGTTAAGTTGGCAGGCAAAATGTTCCCGGGTCGAAGTTCGCCAAAGTTCATAACGAGTTGCTTCATACCACAGACTAAACCCTGTGATGAGCCCAATGCCCAGCATAACCAAAAAGAACATCTGTAGCCGGCGCATCGCTTTTCCAATGCTTTTGTGCGAATCTTCCTTCAGCATGGTAGTACTTGAATATTTCCGTTGATGAAGCTTGTATGTGAGATGGACTAGAAATAAAGCTCCTATGAGGAGTGCCAATAAAAATGGAAGGGATACGAGAAGCTCTCTATAAAGAACTGAAGATCGGCCGACGAAGCAAACCCCTTTAATAGAATCAGCTTCAATCCCTGGCCCAACTACAACGGCAACGCACATTATGAGCGGAAAGCACCAAGCAGAAAGGTGAAAATAGGAGAACTTAGACTTCCAGTAGTCTGCTTCACTGCGATTCTGTAACGGCACAACAAGTACAGATTTATTTAGCGCACCACAGATTATGACAAACCAGACGTATGCCGCATTCAGGAAATAATAGCAGGCCACAAAGTTTGTGAGACATGCTAGGCTCCAGTTGGGGCTGGGCTCATCGCGACGAATAGTACCGTCTCCGTTGCAGAGCATCAGCTCTCGTAGACCTAAAAATTGCGCGCAATGACCCCCACATACAATGAATAGGCACACGGTGAACCAAAATTTCAGGCGATCCGGGTATGTGAGTCGATTTTGCGACCGGCTATATGGTACGTAGAGCAACAATGTTAGGAGGCAACAGAATACAGAGACGATCACAAACCATGCGTCATACCAACGCTTTGTTGTTTGTTCTTCTCGAGAGATAAGCGGGTTCTCTGTACACGAGATTCCACAGTAATCGATCTCGGAGTACCATGAGTGACGATTTGTCGTATGTATGAGCGGTGTGGGACATTCATGAGACAAATTGAATCGTATCTTCGGTATATCACTTTTGGTAGCATCGTTTTTGCATCCCTTCGTAAAGAAAACATCTTGTTCACATCGGAGAAAATATGGCCATTCCACATTTCCGACCTGTGGTCCAACTTGCGGCATAATGATCTTGCAGGCCTTACGGGCACTCTCACACAACGTGTTCGATATAAGATGAACTGAATTATTTTTGCATGGTGGCCGGTACAGTGAACATAGAAGCGGCTGTGCAAGCTGCCAACATCGTGGCACCTTGCGCAAGCCCGCCTCCAGTTGAGTTAGACGCTCGTCCACTTCGCGCTGGTTCTCTGCATCGTCCACAAGTTCAACAGTTGTACTAATGTATGGCAACTGACTGCCGAAACAAGTAAGATTGTTGTGTTCCTGACAGGTAGCTTGACGAGTGCACACGGAACGGTACTGAAGACTACGTTCGTAATGGGCTATTTCTAGTGCCGATACCGTGTTACCGGCTACTAGGACAACGACAAACACAACACACGACATTAGTGTTCGAACCGATCGAGTGCGCTCCATTAGATCAAAAAGTCATCTGTAGGAAGATCTGCAGCACTTTCGGGGAGGGGGGAGGGGGAATAGAAGATAACCTTGATGCACGTTACATTCACGTCACAGGCAGCAGCCAGCGTCTTGGCTCGCCGCTCGCTTCGTTCTGAAGAAGCTTTGTTTTGGTGCGCCTCTGAAGATCGAATGATCACATGCATCCATGCTAATGCGACTGTCACCGCAAGGAGGCATGCAGACTGAAATTTAAACACTAGCCATGTGGAGATGTTCGTAGGTTAAGTTGTTCCGCGGATTGAGTCATAAATGGTATATATATATATGTGTGTGCGTGTTGTAAACAGTCCTAAACAATGGACAGAGTGGCGCTGCTGCATATGGTACACTCGATCAAAAAATGGTAGAAATAAACTTGAATCGCGTATTCATATACAGCGCCATATATCAAATGGTATATATAATTGTAACATTATAAACGAAAGTACAATGAGTAGTTTAGAGTGCGGTTTTCGAACAAAAGCACGTACGTTTTCTACATTATTTTATTTTGATGTCTTTTTATTGAAATGTTGAACATAAATAGCGTTAAGCAAAGTTACCGAAAGATAACTATAAATATCTCCGTGTCATATATTATTTCACAAAGATATCAATGCACACATACACGTTCTTAGTTCATAAAATGCTTGTTTCCTTAGAGAATTTACGATTGTAAAGGACAAAAGATCCAATTATTTTATAGCTTGAATAGTAATGAACTCTGACGTTTACCTAGTTTATGTGAACAGCTGTGCATAGTACACCAATTGCTAGGCGAACTAACGGAGCACCTATTCGTGCAAAGAAAGGTTTACGGTTTTTAAACATATTAAGGAGTCGCGACGTTACTCGGCGATGGCTGAAGAACCTAAAGAAAAATAAGGAACAAGTTATTACTGTTATATAAAAGTGTTACACCATTAGGATAATTTCATCTTTGTCCAACGAAAGTATTTATAACTCGGTTCGAACTCGACAAATTTCGTTTCGTACCGAGAGCCAGCCACCTGATAGAATGCCCAACGGCGACTTCGGACTTTAAAACTCAAAAAATATATAGATATCACATCCCTTTAGCGCAAAAATTAGGCTGCTCTAAGAGTCAGAACTTGTATGGTCCACTGGCCCATGTGAGATTGGATTATGACCAAGACTGCTGATACTTTCCTATATATATATATATATATATATATATATATATATATATATATATATATTCTTTCTTCTAAATATATGTAGTTATGGAGCTCAATGCTGGTTTTTCGCGACCACCTCTTTAATATTGCGTTAAGGACCTACCCTTCACGAAAAGACAGTCGGGATGAGTTTTATTGGACCTTGACCTATGGCTTTCTGTCATTTGGATGTAACTTATTTACCCCGATGTTATCGAATTCTTTGGTGCTGACGTCTGTGAACTCTTAAGTAATCTCGATATCACGTTGAAATTTGAATGATTTTTCTATTGAGAAGTTGTAGGCATTCTGAAAAAAAAAAAAATACTAATCTCTGATGACAATGCCTAGCGGGGTTTCCAATTGTAACTCCTGTAGTGATTCTTGCGATATGGATTCTTGCGAAGTGGACCGTTGTCGTGAAATAGGGGTAGTTTAGCTTTGTTTACTAATCTGGGCTCCCTAATGCGAAGTTGTTTCATGATTCTTAATAATACATATTGTCGCAATTGACGAACCAGCACGATTCTTGTCCAAAGCATGCGGTACTCAGTCGTGCAATTTTTTTTATGTTATCATTTGATTGAGGAGAACAAGTACGGTGTTTTTACTTAAACCAAAGATGATTGCTAACACCCGCGCATTCTGAGGTAGGTCGGCCTTTACATTTGCGAATTTAGGATTTTCTTCCGAAACCAACGATTCACGGAGCTTTTAGTCGTACAATTTTTACCGAATATGACACTTGTAAGGTAAGCGGTCTCTGTCGCTGTAGTTCCAAGATGAAATTCATATTTCTAAGTTAGCCAAATATTGCGGTCTTCCATGACTCACTACAACCTGCCGTCTACAAGACTCAATGCCAATAATGAGGAGAATGGTCTTAAATTTAAAAGTGTCGTGAAATTTAAAAGAGAAGTCTCGTCAAATAGTATGTCTATATAGAATAACGTTATGTTGAAATATAGGATCAACAGCTGTCACGTTTCAATATAACAATATTGAATATACCTAGTTATTTCATTTGTCACTCTTTATACCGTTGCAAACATGTATATTGCTAGCTCTGGTTCGTATTCTGAGTCGTCGTGGCATACAAGCGTAAGCTGTTTCCGATAGACGTGAATCATATCATATATATGCAATCGAAAATATCCAAAGAAACCGCTAACTTAACCAGCAGCGTCCTTTCCGCTGATTTTATCTTTGCAAATAGTATAAACAGATAGCAACGAATTATTAAAATTACGAAGTCCATTGTTTTCTGAGGAGCCAAGATAGAGAGGTCGTACGATTTCTGCCAAAACTGTCACATGTGTCCTTATTTTTTTGTGACTAGTTATGCAAAATCGACCTTGTCACTAGCTTTTGCTAGTGCCTTCTTCCTTTTTCCCAAAGGCGTCTTGGGTGCTATTTACAGTGAATATATCGAGCTATCGACAATAAGCTGGAATAATCCTTGCTACTTTTGAAGGTCAACATACCTGTATATCTACTCCTCTGCTACTAAGCACTCACTTGGACAACAAAAATGTCTTTCTCGTGTTGAGGATCTCATAGGATCGCTGCAATAGAGATTGATTAAATAGGAAAAGTATATTTTTCGAACTTATACCCTGTTGACGACACGGGACACAACGACAAGGTGAACGTCATTATGTATTTGGAGCTGTGTATCTTGTTTCTGACTGTTTTCTTGGCGGTGCACTGGGCTCAGTGGCACGGATTTATTGGAGAAGAAAAAAATTTGCCACCAGGTTATTACGGATTTCCCGTCATTGGAGTCGTGCCGTTTATACTATGGAATAGAAACTACATCGCACAGGCTAAAAATATATGTAAGAAAAGTGGACCCATCTTCAGGTAAATCTGTGAAGCTCAATTAAATAATTGAATTCAAACGTTTTGTAGATGAAAATACATACCTACGATTATTTCCAATATTGTAATACTTCACACATACGATTCCCAGAGACGCGAGTCAAAGACGTCCAAAATAACCGCATCGGTGACAAAAACACAACTCATGCAGACTTAGTGTTTTCGAAATGCGACTCGACCCTAAGCATGCCCGGCTCGATCGTTCGGACAGTTTTATATGTCTGCATGCTTTTCATCTATATATCGACAGACGTAGCTACACGGCACACGCTACTTCTTTACTGAAAGATATGTGTCGACGGTGATCGTTTTATACTTTCCATTGAAGTTTTCGTTGGCTTACTTCTGCGTGTTCTTCTTATTCAGTCTACTTAGCAGGCAGCAAATATCTAAAAATAGTTCTCCTCTGCCAACCATTATTCCTATCGTCATCTAAAGCAGTATAAGTACAACTAGTTTTGCACTGCTTAACTACTACTTACAGATCATTGATAGATATAAATTTTGGTTCAGCGAAATGTCTGCATCCATTTGCAGTTCGCTTTTAAACAGTCCATGATTATTTACCTTTTACATATTATCTGACCACGTTGAAAAGAAGATACTTTACCCACACTTTTGAGTCACGGGTTGCTTTAGTCGATTCGGTATAGTTTCTAGAAATCTGGGCTTTGGTTTTTCAAGGCGATGTCCAATGCCAATTTAGGTGACATGTTATATTTTACACATCATTATTGAATAGCATATTTATAATCTGATTCGTGGACTACGTTAACATGTTATTCTATAGTTCGAGAAAACAGTCATTTCAACGGTGAAAGCTTGCGTCTGTCTACACGTAGGTAGAAATCGAGTTTCAGACACTTGGTGTCGCCCTAGTCGTTGTACGATGACAACTTGAACGGTTACGTAGTAGACGTAGAAACATGTGAGAAGGTCTGGGTTCGCGCTCGATCGTGCATACGCTTCATTTCATGTGGGAATCCAGAATAACGTCTAGCAGCAGTACCGAACATAGAGCTCGAAGCATAAACAGTATTCAAGAAAAAATGGAATCACGCGAACTATCTATGTGTCATATGTCTTCATAGTAAAGGACAAATGTATCTCGATCAAGACCTACACTGCAACACTACACTTAATCCAAACGTAGGGTACAATATATGTTGCGCTCCAAAAACGATACTTTACTGCCTATTCAAGGGATCTAAGTCCAAAAAAAGGACCGTAAACTTGATGGGTAAGCAATGGGCTTCACCTGGTGTCACTGAGATACATCGTAGAAATATGGTCGCTATTAACTTATTAGATATGGATAAGCCGCTATTCTGAACGCTGAAATCGCGGATGCGCCTATATAACGAGCTTCTGTTGGACATTGTGCAAATGTGGTTGCAATAGTTTTACAAAAAAACGATAAACGTATTTAGGTGTATAAAGCGACAATTTTGAGCACGGAGGTCATTAGAAAGCGACTTTATCGGATCAGAAATATCTAGATAAATCATTAGTGACTCCCCACCGCAATATTCCCCCCTAATACCTCGAGAAGCTTAAAGAGACTTGGACATATGGGTCACATCGCAAAGCTCGAACCGTGTTTTTTCAGCCCCCATGGAAAAAAACCCTTGCCTTTCCTAATCCGATATTTCGTCTAGGATAGACAGCAACTCATTGCCGATGGTCATTTCTGGCTGGTCGTTTCTAGCTGGATTATTTCCTGGTATGAGTGCGTTCTATGGTAGACTTAAGCGGCGGCGGCGGTGGTGGTGATAAACTCAAGTAATCCTAAAAAAAATTAGAAGCTTTGTTGCTAGTAGGTGTTACTGCTGTGAAGCAGATAACACTTCGGGTGATCAACCGGAAAAATTGGGCACTATTAGCACGCCATATAAGGATAGCACGACTTCATCAAGCATTGCCTACAACTAACGCTACAATCTAAAAATCATAAAGTTTTTTTAAGGATTTGATTTATTGGCTCATTAGCTCGCGAATTCATATTGAATCAGTTCATCGCATATCAGATATTCTGCTACATATTTTCCATAGAATACCCGTTTGCGACATGTAACAAATTTAGGGAATGAAGTTCCTTGACATAATATGTATATGAGGCAGTTTCTGAATTTCAAGTTAATTGCCGGATCTAATTTCAACGTTAATGGATGTATTTGTAAATCGAGCGATTAGCATGAAATCACACGGCTCACCTCTAGAACGTGACAAGCGTGTCTCTTTTGAGATTCGAACTAAGGACGCTACTTAAAAGAAAACAAGATTTGATCCTCTGGTCTCATTATAGCTAGAATCACGGTTGCATCTATACGTTTTCTATATACATTTTCAAAAAGACAATTGCATCGAGTATCGAGTCAGAGAGGTAAGCTGTACGTCGGATAGCCTTCCAATCATTAAATGCAGTGGGTCAGATTGTTCTATATATTTTTAGGTGAGCTGACACATCAGCTAGGTTCTTCTAGATATTAGAGAATTTTCAGAGTCACCCATTTATAAAGATAGTACAGGTGCATGCTCGAAAGAAGAGTTAGGTAGGAAAAATTCCAGATAATCACAGAGTGCTAATACTGTAAAAAATTATGGAAAAGAGATGAAATGCGTTTTGCAGAACCAAATGAAGAGGATTTACAGCATTGATAACACGAAACTAATATATATGAGGCTTAAGGGCGCTTCAAAACATTTGTATACGATCGATAAATTTTATGAGAAATACGTTTCCATTTTTAAAATCCCTAATCTTGTTCATCAACTTCGTATTAAGTTCCTTTCGTCTGGTACCTGATCCGTTAGGTATTACTTCACATAGCCGGTTTCAAACACGGAACGAAGTGTATCGACGTCAAAATGTCAACGTATTTTACCACGTAACATTAATTTTAGGTATCAGACACGTTACCCACTTGCGCTTACACCTTGCTAGTAACTACTTCAATTAATAAATCTCATCAAATGTTCAATATTATCCCTAGACGTTTTACTAAAACATTAGTCTTTTGTGTTTTACTGTTCTCACTGTTTCGTTGAATATGTATAGAGTACGGGTTGGCTGGGTCGACGTCGTTGTGGTCAATGGGTCAACTGGAGTAAAGGAAGCTCTTAAGAACGATGACCTTCTCGGCAGGCCAAAGAACGCCATGTTTAATCGACTTCAAGAGCTTATAAAAGCTGATCGTTAGTACATCCAACTCATCTGCGAAATTGTTTCCCGGGTTTATTACTCGAAAGAGATTGGCATATTGCCAAGAAATATGCCAAGTAATTTTTCTAGACTAATTGGTTTGTCTTTGACAGGATAAATGTAAATAATGGTTAGTACCGCATAATCAGGGTGTTCAAAGATATAAACAAAATGTCTTATGTGCTACAGCTTTCGTTACAATGGAAGGCCCACGTTGGAAGGCAATTCGAAACTACTCGGTACACACATTAAGAGATCTCGGCTTTGGCAAAACTCTTTTAATTGAAAAAAGGATTCAGGTAAGTTTTACAAAATTTAATGAAGCTATTTTCCACGGTTATGTCGGTGCGTAGGAACTAAGGTAAACACTTGTTGTTATATATATATATATATATATCAAACAAAGCATCTACTATATAGGAGAGTGTTTGGGAAAGTCAAAATCGAAATGTATACATTTTTGAAGTCAAAGTATATAACGGTCCCGCTAAATGAACAGTTATAAATCTGGTGTTGTCTTTTCTACACCCACAGGATGGCTGATATTAAATACAATACTATAGGTACACATTCGGGCTTACTACGTAGTAAGATATGTAACTCTTTCACCCTGTAATCAGTTACAATGGTTTCAGTTGCGATAAAATAAGAGGAGCTGTTTATTCTATAGACCGCTCAGCTTTTTACAATTTTGTAATTTTTTAAAATAGTGATAAAAATAATGTCTTCAAGTACTTCGTACCAACTGCCCAGAGCTACCTGCAAATTCGTTTTAAACTATACATCTAAAAAAGTTCATGCTGATCGAGGTCAATATAACGTATCCGGGAGTGCCAGAATCGAAGTGCCAATCTTAAAGTCAAAATATACCTTCCAAAGTAATTTTTTTTATACATAAAGTTGTCTAAGAGCTGCCATTACGGTCTAGAGCGAATCGTTAAGATCATGGTTTAATCACATATCTAGGGCTTTTGCGTCGACTTAATTAAAAAACACAGAATACTGTGTCTTATGTTGTGTATGTAAATCACACGTCTCAATTAAAGTCAAGGCATCTACTATCTCATCCAAACAGGAGGAGATTGGGTACTTCTTAGATGTTATCGGACGGACGCAAGGAATTCCGTACGAGCCACGGAATACTCTTCTAGCATCTGTGTCTAATAATATTGCCACTCTGGTGTTTGGCGACCGCCACCCTCGATGGAAAAGCTTCAACAAGTTCCTCCTCGGCTTCATTGAAACTACGTCCTACCTTTTTGTTTTTAGCTTTGTTCCTTTGTTGATGAAGTTGATGACCTTCATAGGCATCAAACAAGTAAAAAAATTACTTGAATTTGCTAGCATCGCGGATACGGCATTTACGTAAGTAAAATGCCATCTAAGTAAAATGCTATTCGGCATACAGATTCTTAGATGGTATAGCGATTTTTTAATGTAGAAACTTATTATCAAAAAGGCGACGCCGACGATAATTTGGAGCACGAAGCCGATACTTAGCTAGTTAGTGTCGGGACAGCAGTAAATAGTGCTTCATAATATATTGTTTCGAAGCAAACGTATGCCAGTTTTGTTAAGTTACTATCAGTACTTTAAAGCAAATTTAGGTGGATGCTGAAAGTACCTCTGATGTGTATTGCTTCTTCTCTGCTAGAGCGGAAGTTGAAAGCCATGCCGAAAACTTCGATGGCGGCTATAAAAGAGATTTCCTCGATCATCTTCTTGCAAAGCAGAAAGAGGATCCCGAACTTTACACATGTAAGTTCTATTCGAATTGTAATTAGTTTGGCGTATGCATATCAAAATAGAGTTTAGATAAATCATCTATCAATCACCGAAGGTATAAAGTGCCATTGTTTATTACTGCTAATCAAACAAAATCTTTCGGTAATGGTCTCTCCCATAGCTCGAGTTGTTCGAGGAACGTGCTTCGTTTTTTTTGCGGCCGGCAGCAACACGACAAGGGTTTCTATAGAATATCTATTGCAGCTATGCGCTGCATACCCCCACCTGCAGGAGCAGATGTTTCAAGTACGGATGCCAATATGTTCAATATCTTCTAAATGAATAACGAAGATTTTCTTTTCAACCTGCTGTTTATATAATCTTTCATTGGCTCGTGTACCTGGAAAGAAAAGCGAGGTTAAATTCGTGGAGTTACAGGATCTTTAAATTGTGGTATAATTATGTTGCAAACGTTTGTGGCCACGCTTTGAGTGTGACGTATAAATCAACGCCCGTTTAATGTAAGATGTCGGCATATTTGCTATCGTAGGACAATTGTGATCGCTTCTGAATGATGCTATCAATACTTTCAAATAATAAATAGGCGAGGTCAAAAATAAATGTACAAATAGGTAACGCACGGCGATTCGGCCGAGCTGGAATGAAAAATTTACTAAAGTATCTCGGCAATCAGATGCGTCCTCTTGATATAAATATAGTTCACGTGTATTCGAAATGGGCCTTTCTCTCTTCAACGTTCTAATCAATTTTGATTTCCCATAGGAGATCATTCATGTTGTGGGTGATGCCCGACTACCAAGTTGGGTCGACAAGGACAAACTGCACCTTGTCAATGCCTTTATTCAAGAAAGGCATCGTATCTTCTCGATTTTGCCACTGGGAATTTTCCGAAGGTACAGCACCTTAAGCGTTAAACCGATTTGATACAGATTATATTTAATACAGTTGGGTAGAAATTGCAGCTGTTCTGAAGCTGTTGATTACCTAGTGTTCGGCGCGTTTACGTCTAGGAACAGGGATTCTAGATTCAGTAAACGTTACGTAGTTATATTAAAACGTTAATAGCTTTTTGAGAAATAAATGCTGCTTGGTGAATCTTTTAGCTGAGATTAGAAAGATTCACGCACCGTTAGCCACGGAGGACAAATTTCAATCGTGGAATGAACCGCGATACAAAGCCTTGTTTAGTATAAATGAAAGCAATCTAAACCTTCTATACCTGGTGGCATACAGGTCGCTGCGTGACACTAAGCTGTGTGGTTATGATATTCCTAAAAACACGGTGGTCATTTACAATATCGATAGTGTGCACGTCGATCCAACGGTGTTTGAAAATCCTTACGAGTTTAATCCCAGCCGGTTTATCGACGTCGGGGGTAGGTTCATCCGGTCCAATGCCGTCATCCCTTTCGCTATTGGTAAGTTTCTATAGAACGCCACGACACGGTAGAACGTAACTAACAAAAAAAATTCTAGAAAGTGTTTAAAGGATTATTATAATAGAAGGCTTTAAGGTCCAAAAGGACTTTGCAATGTCAACAGCGTAAACGCAGAGTACTGCGCCTGTTCTGTTGGTGTTCAGATGTAAAGTTCCGGGAGTATTTTTGTCATCGCCATCGAAAGATTCGACGATACAGATAGTAGCGTCTAACTAAGTTTAACACATTAGATTAAAAAGTGGCTTTTATCTTTTAGGAAAACGCGCATGTTCTGGTGAAGCTTTCGCAACGTTTGAAACGTTCCTCTATTTTACTACCATTCTGCAGCGATTTCGGATCGAAGCTCCAAAAGGGGCCGACATAAAGCTCGCGACTACAGACGAGTTTTTCTCAGAACCTATTCAGCAATCATTGGTATTTATTAGCAGATCTTGAACCACTGCTAATACTGACGGCTTCCTACGGCGTTACGCCTGAAATTGACTTTCGCTAAAAACAAACTTGGCTAATTAGCAAAACATTTAAAATTGCTGTCAAATAACAAGATACACAATAAAATTCAGATATATTTGTTTGTTATTAAAGTGTGTTTTAGCATTTCGATGGTAGCGAAACTTATAGGATGATTATACGGTGAAATATTTTTGTATATATTTTAAGTTGGCTGATATAGTAGATTTTGTATCGGATAGAACAGGAAACATCAGGCAAAATTAATTATGACAAAAATGCAGCCAGTAGTTAACATGGTGGAGCTTGATGTAAGGAATCTATCCATTCAAGTAGCTGTTTATACCTGTTTTCACAAAAAAAAGGTGCCTACCGGGACCTTTTTACCACAGGCTAAATTCTCCACTTCATGCATTTGCTGAGTTAAGCAATAGAATTATTCACTAGAATGTAATTGTTCTCGCCGTTGTCATTGATGACTGAATGTACGTACGTGTAGAAGGGGGTCGGAATTTACTGAGAAAAAAATCAACATCGTTAAAGGCAATGCGGTATTTCTAGCTCAGTATATTTATGCCCATTTCTGTAAATAGAATTTTGTCAGAAACGATAACACTCTTCGACGTTCCGTTTGATCTATTCGTGATTATTCTAGATCGAGTGCCAAAATTTATTATTTTCTGTCGTGCTATATCCATAGTACGCAAGTAAGCTAAATTCAAAAGAGCTTTGAAGAGGACAGTCGATTGGCCACGCAGCAATGCAAACGGTGTCCATCCATCTCTGACGCTCATAACAAATGACGAACTCTCTAGACATCATTTAAGCACGTAGCACGTACCTTTACGACTATTGCCTGAAAGTTCCGAAGACACTAACTTGTGTAGAAAACAGTCTGCAGCAATAAAGTCTCGTAAAAACATAAGCTGCCACCCCAGTTTTAGCAGCTCTCAGGTGGTAACCTATGTACTATGCAAATACAACACAATGACGATTGAGCTTCAATGAGCGTGAGCTTACAAATGTTCTACATAGTTGATAAGTACGGGCATCGTGGACTTGCGTTTTTATTTATATTGATTTAATTGAAAATAATGTCAGCTGCGAAGTTCAGGGGATGACGCTTGTTTACAGAAAATAGGGCGCTCCATTATTCGTATGATAATATTAATCATGACACGGAAGTTAAACTTTTTCTTATAGAACCTATAGTGAAACGATACAATCCAGAGGAAAGCTCCTCCTCTCTACGAAGACCATTTAACCATTTGGGCTTCATTTATTATAAATTTAAAAACATTGAATCACTGCTTGAGAGTGAAGCCAATCAGTAAACAATAGTTGATTTTTACGCGCATGTAAAATAGGATAAACTCTTCCATTACACATAACTGAAACTAGGCCTCTCATGTAAAAGCGTTTCCAAGTTTACGCACGCAACTACGTATGAGCGCAGAGGAATAATTAATTAGTGGGCTAGTAAATTAAATTTGGCACTATTAAGGAGACAATCGAATATGACCGAACTACTAAATTAAGACAACGTAGGAAATGCGAACTCACCTCATGTCGAAATAGAATGCTATGACAGTTTGCCCCCCAAGCGATGAGTAATCTGGAATAAAAGCTATTGTATCATGGAGGGGCTGAACAACCGAACTCCACTACAATTCCCATTTTTACTCGTCTCGCTCCTTATAGACATTGCCGTCGTCGTGACCTTTTCGTTCAGCTATTAAGGTCCCATCGCAGTTTTGCCTAATACAGGCCACTCGGAAGGGAATTATTATTACGACGAGGAGTTTTTTTGAGCTAGCAGACAAAGGAGCCCAGTTGAGAACGTTGGATAGCTATACGGGGTGGTTAAGAGAACTCTCGGAACTGGGAGATTCAAATCGTTCGGGTAACAACTCGCGGAAATCACTCTAGCGTAACAACCGCTTCACAGTGTCCAAGCCATAAACGCTTTCTCCTTGCAAAGTCAGATGAAGTTGACCATTCAACGTCGAAAGAGGTTTTCCGTAACGCAAACACTTGCGAAACAGATGCAAATGTTGTTACTTTTACTTTGTTATTACTCTAAAAAGAGAGCATGGTCTCGTGAAAGCGATCAAGTTCGATTCGCCTCAAACACGATTAGTTTTTGTTATTTTCCTAAATTTTTAATGTAATTATTATTGTTCCTATTACATCCCAGTGAAATAGTAAAGGCTTTGTCTTCGGTAAAGTTGATATTTGGGTTACCTGTTTAGTACTGTTCGAAACGTGTAGCTGATTCGATTACCGTTGTGCCCTATGAAAAATCATTTGTGAACACCACTTCAAAACCTGGCACCTGGTAATTTTAGAAACTGTTAAATCTAGGCTGATCATTCTCCTACGCTTTCATGTCGAATTGGGATTATTTTTATTAATGCACGTGTATGAATCACGTACAAATGAAGCATGTTGCTGCTATAAACGGCCGAGGTGCACGGCTGGAACGCTTTGCATGTTTAACATTAAAATGACAGCGTAAGGGGACTACAAAGGAGAAATAAGTTTATATAAACAATAATGTGTATGTCTAAACAGTACAGTATAACACTTACGTGACACTTCACAGCAAATATCGTACCTTGACCCTCTCATGATAAGAACTTGAGCGAATTACTTCCTGTTAAAAAATTGAGTTCGTTTTTACTTACTAGATAACTTTTAAACTAGTCCTCACTTCAGAGTAAGCAGTCCTTTCAATCAGTAAAAGCCTTTGAAGTTAACCTTTAGCCTACTCAAGAACTTGCACAGAGTCGAGCGTTTGCCATTTGCTGTCTAAAAACCCACATGGATTTCTACATACATGGCAGTTTCTTGGATATTGTTGGAATTCATGGATAAAAATCAATAACTTTGGGCAAAAAACACAATTTATCAAGTCGACAGTGTAGAAAACGGACAGTTCTCATACGATCGGAAACGGATCTTTCCGCGGCCGAAGTCGAGCTATGTTTTGTAAATTCAATTGTCTATCTGAACTTGAATGAATCTCTTTGTTGGAACGATTTGCGAAAGTACTCAACTTGACTGTCAACAACCAGGCTTATCCATGAAAAGAAGCCATTGACGCACGCCGTTCTAGGCCGTTTGTGTGATATTCCGATCGATTTCTATAACATGCAGAGACGTTTACTTTAAATCTGCCTTGAAATGAGTCTGCGGATGAAACAATCGGTCGCTGATTAGTCTCTGAAAAGGACAATTCAATCAGCTGTCGCGTCAGAGCGATATCAGTTACGATCAACATCAACCGGTTGGTGACTGAAAGCTGTCAGTCGTAATTATTTGAGCCTCCGGTTTAGCTAGAGTTAGCTAGCGGAGTAGTTGGCTACAAACACAGAAACCAAAACGTTTCGCTTTGACAACCCGAATATTCTTTGAGAAGAAATTGAAACATTATATAGAGTCGTATGTAGATTTAATATCGTACCTCTATATTGACCCTTGTTCCAGAAGCTTCATTTCAGACTTGAACGCATAAGTAAATATAGTGCGTCAGACATCGCGCGATGATCTTTAACCGAGATGACATCACAGCGATACAGCCACGCTCAGAAAAATAGCTCTCCATGTAAAATAACTATTTACGTCATCATACTTCTGCTTCTTCGTAGGTGTTTAAGCTTGCAATGGAGCAGACAATTTTATAAACATGACACATTAAAATAAATAACTTTGTTGAAAACAACTCGATTTCGCGATAATACAACCGAATCTAGAGGGAGCTACGGGAAAAATGATTCGCTTTATTTCCAGTTTCCCTGGAGGCCTCTAGCGAATCGTATGTGTCGTTCACACAAAATAAACAATATTTGTTAATGAGACCTGCATCTTAATTCGATCATTATTACCGGGTAATAATATCGGGAACTGCCCATACATACGAATCAAACGTACACGTAAGGAAGGAGGCAAGGGAAAGAAGGGCGGCAAAGGAAACAGCAGCTGTTCATCTACCAGCCGAAACAAGGTTTTTCAAAGTTCGTAGCTGTATAATTGACACACCAGGTAACGCTCTAGCCTCGCTGATGGCGTTGGTCCAAAGGTTCTCTCGGGACCATCAAAGGGGTAGAGCCAAGAAAGAGCATTATATTTCCACGCGGAAAAATTGCGCCAAGGGTTATACGATACATAACTAAGCAGTAATCTATTAGATATTTTTATCGGTACGAATATTTGCATTATTATGCCTTTGATAAATGTTCGCGTTGGCTATGCTAAACCGCATCGATGAACCGTATGAGAAGAAATAAAACACATAAATCTAAATCTATAACGGGTCGCTTATATGTTAGCGTTCTAGCATTTTGCAAGAAAATACTCACGAAGAGAATGTCTAAGAAACTAGAGGGACTTCAAATCTTACTCGTCACACAGCATTTTCAAGTCAGTAGGACGAGGGGAGGAGAGGGGGAGAATTTATTGTTTGGAAATGCTGAAAACCGCTAGCTTTCGAGAAACGTTTTTTTTTCCCCACTCCTGATATAATAAACAAAAGCCACTTTAAAGACCTCGGACGACGGAAAATATAATAATGGAGTTGGTTTGGTCTGGGATTAATGCATGCTAGAGCATTTGATGCAGTAATGGTTAAACTTTATAACGGTTGACCTTTAGAGACACTGCAAAAATCTTAATAACGTAGCTACAGATGTAAGCTTAGTGAACTTAAACATGTTTACACGATCGAAAGTCTCACGCGAACTCAGATATATTGACGGTTCGCTGCAATAGTCGAAACATGTTCATAAGTACCCTACCATATCGATTCGTACGTGCCCTACCAAATTAGAATCGAAAACCCCATTATAGGCCCAAGTCTCCGCCATACGTCACAAGCTATCCGGGTTTACCTTCAGCTAGTCGATTTCTACAAAAGGCTTGCCTCTGAGGATCATTTGCAGCCACATTTTGCGATCTGTATGCAAAACACTTCGAGAAAAGTGGAGTCAAATAATCTTTCCTACAGAAAGGTAAAATTTTTGCAAATGATCCGTACCACATCGATCAAATAATTTTCTTTTAAGAAGCAGTTCCCGCTAAATTTTGATTGTTTGCAGCCGTAGTTCGCTAGTGACGCACACCA